TAAGTTCCCTTTAAAATCAGTCTTTTCATCTCAGCAATATTCATATTTCATTGTTTAATTTCTAAATTAAACCTTTCAGTCCCAATGTGCTATATAAGTCCCAGTAGATGTTTAAAGAAGCCTGGAGGGAATTACATGCATCAGTTTACTACATAGTTGATGTCCCTCTGATAATACACATCATTTCTAACATCCCCACTATAAAATTGTCATGCACGTCTACTTATAGAGGTTTAGTCAATTTGTTTATTATAAAGCGAACATTTGCTACGTCTTTAGACTTGTTTAGTTTCTGGTTTTGCATAAAATATGATAAGAAAAATTCTAGGTAAGTTTGTTGAGATTTGATTACTACTTATAGAATATATTTTGTTCATGTAAAGAAGACATATACAGAATATTTTTTATAAAATTTGTTGACAGGTCATATATGACCCAGTGGGATCAGTGATGGGATATATTTGTCCCAGTGGTATTTCTAGAAGTAGTATGTAATTTTTTGCTTTGGTAATAAAGCGTTGTCTGATAAAGAACTGATGGATATTGCAGAAAATATTTCTGATCTGGAACAAACAAATAAATTGGGACTGAAAGGGTTAAAACTGCTAGAAATCCTGGGATTATATTCTTCAGCAGATGAACATGTTTTCTAGCATATATAGTGCTCTGACATTTTGTTGATCACTAATATAGTCATGTGTATATACACTGTAACAATAGATGCAAATTCATTGGTAGTTTGCAAACACAACTGGATAGGAAAGAAATGAAAATATCATTAAACAGGATTTCATAATGGGGTGAACCTAGTAATAACACAGCTGCATTTGACCCACTCACTCCTGCAGCGTACATTACTGGGTTTCTTTCAAAACACTATTCTGGAAGCTGCACCCCGAATAATTAAAAAATACTACTATTAACAGACGCTAACTATTATTGTTTAAGTATATTCATAATTGCAATTAAGCTATAGCTATAAATTTCAGATATGTTTTCCTAATTTTTAACATTTATGTTAGTTGGCAGCGTAAGTTGTATTAATTTAATCTCTTAACAGATATGTGTGTGTTTAGACAAGTGCAAAAACAGCAGTAAAATTGTAAAATACTGGTCTAAATACAAAAACAAAAGTACAGTCAAAAGTCGTTAATTCGGACACCCATAATCCGGAATGATCTATAATCCGGACCTCAAAGCTACAAACTTTCTGCGCTGCGCACAGGCGTTTACGAGAGCGCATAAGACCCTTACAGCTACGGATATGTTTGTGCACATGCGCGTTTAATGTGTAACGGAGTTATACGCTAAGCTAAAGTTATCTAATTCAGTTAATGTTGCAGATTGCATTGTTCCTTAATCTTCGAATTGGATCCGGCTTATTATTTTTTGCAGACTGTTAGAGCAATTTTATAAAAGTAAGCTTTAACTTTCGATTACGTCAAATAGAATTTCCGATATATATTTACTACAAAGCGAAAGTATGTTTTGAAATCCGAATTCTGTTTATCAATTTCACGCTGCTCTGCGGCAGAAGGGGGGGTGCAGAAATGTCATTATTAGATTATGACAGATTTATGTCAAATAGAATTTCCGATATATATTTACTAATATGTAATTTGTATCTACAAAGCGAAAGTATGTTTTGAAATCCGAAATCTGTTTATCAATTTCACGCTGCAGACTGGAAGTTGATCTGTCAGCACTATCCTTATCTTCAGAGCAGATGTTTTTATTTTATTTGGTTTCTGTCTTTGATATGATTTAAATCAAGTTCCTCGTCATTATAATTCGCTTCCGATAGTGAAGAAAGTGACCCAGAGGTTATTGAAAACGAAAACATTTCGATTGACAAATTAGTCGGTATTCTCAACACAGCAATTATAGGACTTGAACAGCGGAACTTTGTAACTAAACAAGAAATTATGTCTGTTTAATAGAATTAAAGAGAAAGTATTATCACATGAAACGAAGCAAATTACATTGAAGGAAATGTTTAATAAAGTAAACAAATAAATATTAAGCTTTTTCTTTTTGTAAATTTTGATACCCTTTAGATCATAATTGTTCTTTATTTCATAAATTACGGTTTCATATTTTTAATTTTGTAATTTCTGCATGCCATCTTACCAGATTTAAACTGATGATCTATAATCCGGAATCGCCGAAGTCCCGACGAGTCCGGATTAACGACTTTTGACTGTATATGTTTAACCCTTTGACGCGCGGTGGTTGCACCCTGAAACCTCCAATTTTTTTCTCTTCTTTCCGAAATTTTTGAGCGAAAAACAATTGATTACTGTTCTTTTACCTCTAAATAATAAAAAATGACTGCAGCATCATACATTTTTTAGGTCTTAGTACTTCAAATCGGATACTTTTTAAAATTCATTTTCAATGAGACAAAATAACTTCCTTTTATTAATATAAAAAAATTTAAATTTCAAAAGTTACTCATCACACATCATTATTTCTATCATGAACAATGAAAAAAAGAGCTATAATTAAACTGCATATATAAAAAAACCTATGCATAGTTATGGCATTTGCTTTGTGGTTTCAGGGTACGACCACTGGGCCATGAGAGCATTATGTCTCAATGCTCATAATCTTCTTAATATTGTAATTTTATAAATTATTTTGTGTGGTTTAAATATGATGTAAATACACTATATGGACCAAGCCCCACTTATTAACATAAAAAACCACAAATTTCATGTTCCAGACGAAAAGCGAGTAAATAATGCTGGACATATACCAGTAAAATGCAAATCCAGGCAGCGTACATTTTGTAGTACAAGGGAGAAACCTCATAGAACAAGATACATGTGCGAAACGTGCAATGTGGATCTATGCATGTACCAAAAAGACAAAACATGCTTTGAACATCGTCACACATACACACACACACACAAAAAAAAAAAAGGGGGGGGATTTTTTTAATCCTTACTTTAATGAGTTTTTCTATCCATTTATTTGAACGTCCTTATTATGTACGATCTTGTGTTTTCACTGCTATAGAAAAATTACATAAAAGTTTAGTTTTTAATTTTTTCTGACGATTTACTTTGTAAAATAAAGTAAAAAATTTACATATAATGCAATTCTTATATAATTTTTTTTTAAAATTTGCATATTTTGCCATTTATTGGTAAGGCACACAGAAAAAGGTAAGATTTTTTCCCTACTACCTCAGTAACTTTCAAAGTCCTAGACGTGTGCTGGTTTCACAATGCGACCACCACCCACAGATCTATGGGCAAGAGTAGATTTTTTTAAATTCATATATTATTTGTCTCTAGGATCATAATATTCAATTTCTAGAATTTTTAGTTCAAAATTATAAAAATAATATTGTGTGCGTCAAAGGGTTAAATACAGTAATTATGTATAAAAGAAATGGTATCTTTTAGTTTTACTTAAAAGCATTCCTTTACCTAAAAGTATTTCTTACACATAACATATTTTGATACTAATGAGTTTAATATTAAAAATATAGTGCTTAAAATATGTATGTATGTTATAGTTAAGTCAGTGATCATAAACTGGTGGCCCACAAACACACTCCCTTAAATAAATTAGCATTACTTTTAATCTTTTATTTAAGATTAATTTTTATGACAAGAATTAAAAGAAAGGTTTAAGACTTTAATAATTCCGAGTCCAATTTTACATTTTCATTACCATTAAAACAAACATAATATAAATCTTATTCAAAGATTTGAAAATACAGATTTGGTATCTTTTTCCCTTACTTGTCAAAAGATATATATGTTGAATTATGAATTTATTCAATAAGAATAATGTCTGAGAGTACATTTATATGTGACCAGTTTTTTTTTTCAGTTAAAAAAATAAGTCTAAAAACAATAACAACACTGACCAATAAGCATTTACAATTCATAATAAAGATACTTTCAAACAATTTTTCTCCAAGGTTACTTCCTTACCAAAATAGAAATGTCATGAGGTGTCGTGGCTGAAATCTGCAGTAAGTGTTGGAAACTACATTTTTACATTTCCCCATCTACTATGTGAGCAAGAGTATAAACATAACCTAGTGGTTTTAATTATATTTTAATTATGGTTTAGTGACAGAAGTCCAATTCTTTTTCCGTTCATTCAAAAAATATTAGAATGATGTTTTTGTTTTTGGTTAGAGTTGCGTGACTAGCTTTTATTGAGAGCTAGAGAACATTTTTTAATAGTAATTTTTGAGATGTACTATAGAGAAAGTATACTATAAAAAATATTAGTCTTGTTTATTGAATAATATGATTTTTTGGAAGTTTTGTGAAATGTTACATTATTTGCCTAAAGAGGTGTAAATGTTTCTCATTTGTGATCATCTTCAAATAAAGTCTTACGAAATTGTGAATGAAATGCCTTTACACTGACAATGGAGAGTAAGAAGTACAGAAGTTTATAATTATTTACATACAAACATATGTATTTTTTCTATAGGTGTCAAAGAAAAATTTAATAAATAAAAGAAAGATAAAGATAATTGGTTGTTATTAGTTATTCTCCAAATTTATCCCACTTAAAAGTTTTCTTAATTTGTTTATTTATAGTTTATGTTAAATGTAATTTATTTAGTGGTTACTTCAATATAGCGGAATTAATTGAAATAAATGTTAATCTGAAAATGCGATATTTAGCTATCAATATTTGTAAAATTACAAAGTGTAACTGATAGAATTTCTTGCAGATACACTTCTTTAGATTTCAGTCAGAAAATAAATATAAATTGGAATTTTTTCTTCACATCATCATTATTACTGTTTATGTATCTTTGATAAGCATTTAATAAATAAAATTTAAAATTTAGTTAAAAAATTGTTTTGTTAAAATAAACTTTCATATCTTGGTTTAAAAAAATAAAGAAAAATTGATATCACCAGCTGCTTTCAGATAGTGTATTCAGTAAGCATGCAATTTGAGTCTGGGACCACCACATTAAGTAATCTTTATCAGATAAAAGAGGAATCGCATCATACCCAGGAGAATCAGGAGGCACCCAATCATCTTTAACAGGTGGTGGTAAAGGCTGGTAAGATGTTTTCATGGATACATCACTAATAATATACAATGCTTCCTTGCAAGCTTGATATAATCTTAAAATATCTTCCCTTTTACGAGATTCTTCAGCAGATTCTTCCATAAGAGTTGCCTTTTTTGATGAAATTAAGAAATGTAAGAGAAAGCCTACTTAAAAATTTGAAGTATTTTTTAAATGGAATACGTAAATAAATACCAAAACTGGCTTTAAATATTACACATACCTGATCACATGAAGCATATAAATTTGCTAGGAGGTCAGTATAAATAAAATTCTTAGTCTGAAAAAGAAGGAAAATAATACCTATAAACCAAAAGTTGTAAAAAATTATGTAACAAAATAAAATTTCCAATGTCCAGTTTATTAAAACTAAAAAAAGAAATATTTTTCATTGACAGCACTCAACATTTTCATGATTGGTATTGCCATTGGTATTATAAATTACGAAAGCAACTAAAAACTGGCTTCTAATGGGCAAGTTTATTAAAGTGTGCTATGAAAGTATAGACTGTAAATTGCCATTGGTATTCTTTATTCATAAAGAATTGTGGATATAAAATATATTTGGAGTATTAGTAAATAGCTACTTTTTATTTCAAACTTATCTCAATAAAAGAAACTATACCTTAAAAATTTTCCCTATTATCATATTAAATTACTAGATCATTTATCATCTAGTCTAGGGAGTGCTGCATTTCATGAAGCATGTGATTTTTAATTTACTACCCATCGTCAAGCAAAGTAACAGTTTTCAGAATTGCTGGCATTCCACATAGAATAAGATCTTTAAGTGATCCCAGATATAAGGTGGCATATGCAGTGTAAGCTGGTATGTTCCTTGTTTTCTTCACACGAAATTTGCAGATGACCTGGAACAAGTCACCTCACGCTGTATATCTATGAAAGACACTATTTCTGTGGTGCAGTCAAAAATCATGAGAATAGCTGCATCAAACACATCTCTGACAGAGATTCTGTTAGTATTTAGATTAATAAAATGAGGGTTTGTATCAACAAGCAAAACTATTATGGATATTGTTTGAGTATTAGTAACTACTTAGGGATTACAAACCAACTATAAAATATATTTACACACCGAGATTTCCTCATGCCAGTCGTTATGAAAAATGGTCTCCAAATACAGTAATGACAGATTATTTTGACTAGCAATATGACTAACTGTTCCCATACTTGAAAATTGGTTCCAGATTTTTGAAATTATACTATGGGAAGCAATTAGCCTTACATTTGACTACCTTGAGATACTCATCGTTTCAGGTTTCTATCTAAATGATGATTTCCAAACTAAGTGATCTGTTTCTAAGAGAAAAAGGCCCATATTTACATTTCATATGTAAAAAACCATGAACACACCCTCCATCGCATTTGCTAAGTTTCCAAACTAAACCAAAATGTTAAGCTTCATAGTCTTGCTGGGGCACTAATGGGGAAACAATTCTTTGGAGCTTAAATTTCCTGTTTATGAAGATAATAAACAAGGTATAAAAAAATATTAAAACAAAAAATCTGAAAACTACCTTAGTTAGAATACTTGAAAGTTTTGAACCTATCCCAATCAGAAATAAAGTATTAGCACAAAATATAAGTTGCATATTTTAGATGTGTTTTCCACACAGTGGCATAGCGAGAGGAGGGCAAGGGGGTGTATGATGCCCCGAGCACCGCTTGCAGAGGGGCGTCAAATCCAAACAAGATTTTCGCCAAACAAAATCCAAACAAGATTTTCCGGAAAATTTAAGTTTTTATTTTGATCGATTTCTGGAAAATATATTTAAAATTAATAAGTATTGTAATATGATTAATTACTTATTTTCTTGATGTGTCTGATAGAATGGGTAATAAAATGTTTGAGGTACATCAACCAAATATCATCGCATACAAAACGTTCTTTCTGACCACTTTATTTCTCTATAATAGAGATATATATTTATTTTTTTAAACAAAATGCATGTATAGCTCCACCTTTTTTATTTTAAAATGATAACACGACCCTGTCTTGAATTTCTCAAACATATCCAGTTTCCAGAAACCGATTCCATAGTCTGGAAATGATATTTTGGGAAACTACTAATGCTTCACTACAATGGATTGCGTTTGACTCTGCTGTAAACGACTGATAGCCTTCCTGGCTACCGATTAACTAAGTCATCAGGCTGAGACATTATATATTCACTGCTTCAAAGCATTCAACAATAAAATTGTTTTTAATCTCCTACTACAAAAGGTATGCTGCAGGTCGCTCCTTATCTAAAATACAGTGTTTTCGACGTCACAGACTAAATTTGCATATTCCCATCTTGTAAACGTTATAGTTTTCCTTTATAATCGTTTAAAATCGTATAAACGTTATATATTTCCTTTATTTGTTAAAAAGGTTGTCGATTACATAGACTCCAACCTTCAGCAAACCTTGTCAGTAGACAACGCGCAAACGACATTTTTACAACTTTGAAAATGTGCGCGTAGCGTATGTTGTAATTAACCATTCATTAATTTTAAATTAATAATTAATTGTAATCAATTTTATTACATTTAAAATCCATATACATATAAAACTGAATAATTAAAAATATACCTTGTAAATTATATGCACATTTAATTAGAAATTTTCTTTTAACTCCTCAAGCATTCACTAATAAAAAGTACTTCAAATCACTACTAATCATAGAAAAAATCATATCTTTATTCTGGATATGATTTCTACAGGGAAATAAAATTTAAATAACCAAGAATGATACATATAAGTATTAAACAAAATACGCATAATTTATGAATGCAAAGATTTATATGTAGCATGCTTAGCAAGCTTAAGTTCTGATTTTGAGAATGTTTTTTTTATAACACAGTTCTTCATTTGCCTGCATATTTATTTTTTCAATCAAAAAACGGCTTCTTCAAGAGTTTTTAAGACCTAAATTTGGTCGAAATTCCGTCTGATTTTTATAACAATAGAAAAAATTCTTTCGCAAGCTGCATTTGAATGAGGTATTATTAAGACAGAAAGCATTACAGAAGGCAATACTTTGTATTTAATACACCCATTCATATTTTTTAATTTGGCAATTTCTCCCCATGCTATATCAAATACGCAAATCTACAATTTCTTTCAAATCATCTACTTGATACATGGAAAATTCAATTTCTACTTGATTAAGACATTTTTCATCAATAATGGATGGAAAAGTATTCATCAAGTAAAGAACAGATGAAAATGAGACTTCAGTTCTCAAGTTGATGTCAGCAACTTCAGCATGTTTTAGAAATGGATCACTCAGTGGAAATTTATCAATTATATATGAACATGCAGTTACAAAAAAAGCTCGCACAGAATTGAAAAAATGATTTCACTTCACTTTCATTCAACTTGGCATTTTTTAAATATAGTCTTGTTTCCGCACCAATCACTAAATTTTCATTTTTTTTTTTTTTTTTTTTTTGTTTACTATACTTCTGAATGAAATGGAATAGACGTTAGAGTAACATCTTCATTTTCTTTAGAAATTACTGATGGTTTTACGAATCTAACAAATAAATTCATTAAAAGTTCAAAAAGTTCTCTTCTCAATTTATGTATATAAGGAGCTTGTTGTTGCAAATTAATATTTACTGTTGTAAACAAAGGCATGAAGTATTTTTCAAAAATAACAAGTACCAATTTGGTGGTTGGTGGTAGACTGATTGTAAAATTTTTTTTAATGTTTTGCAATCTCTTTCTTTCATTCTCACTGTTATCTGGTTTATCTCCAAAAAAATTTAATCACAGCATCCCAATGTTCCAAAATCCTTGTTATAGATTTTTCTACAGAGAGACAACCATCTCGTACTGCAGTATTTCAGAAATTTTATGAGATTTTGCCATTCTGTCCCAAAATTTGTTGAGCAACTTTGAAGCTATGCTTCCGTTTCGAACTTTTCTCCAGAGTAAAAATATATATCTATTATCAACATTTCAATTTCTGAGCCAATTAATTTTTCAGTAGCTTTTTTTTTTTGCAGCTATATGCAAGAGGTGGCACGGACAAACTCGGGTGATTATACTTGGTTGATGCATTTTGATAAATGATGCTACACCTTTAAACTTTCCAATCATATTACTAGCATTATCTGAAGAAAATGATAAGCAATTTTTCCATTCTAAACCTTTGTTTTTAAAGTTTTCATTTATACAATTAAAAAAAACCTTCTCCTGTATTATTTGTGCATTCTAAATAGAAATCAATGAAGTAATTATCACTCCCTTTTCTTTACTGTAGTATGTTTATAACCAATGGGTACAGTTTTTTCATTACTTCCATCAGTACTTAGAGAAAATGATGTACTGCACACTGATTTTATAATATCAGCAACAGTATTTTCTGCAAGCGTTTTCACAATAGCAGCAGTTTTTGGTATGACCGCAGCTAAATTTTTTTGTGCTATGGCAGAATCCGGAAACATTGCTTTGAAAAGCTCTTTGGAATGATCCGAAACAGAAAGCGGTAGATTAATGTTCAATTAAAAAACGAAAAAACAAAATAGCATTCGGCTTTTATAGGATCTGTTTCATCATCATCTTAATTAAGAAATTTGTTATTTCTTTAGATTTTACGGTGCCAAGTTCTATATGCTTTTGAGAAAACACATGCCGTTTACAGTCATCTTTTCCGCCATGAGCAACTGAGAAGTCTTTGTTGCATACACTGCAGTGTGCGTGATTCACAGAAATTTCGGACGCTTTAATGCATGGAAATTCTGAAGAATATGAATCTTTTAAACTTCTGCTTTGATAATTTTGGCTTCTTCGTTCGAGGGCAGCATTACGATTAAAAAAATCTTTCACCTGATTCACAGTTCACAAGACACACGCTAAGCTCTTGCCGTAACTACACAATGCAGCCGAATGCAGCCTAAACACGCATCAGCGAGGAACCTGGGAGACAGACAATTGGGTGGAACTATTGATAAGTCGTTAACGGTTGGAGTTACTGATCTCGATTGGCTAATTCTTCAAAACTAGGAACGCACTCAACACGTGATATATGATAACACGAGTATTCAGCCAATCATCGGATGAATTAGTTGGTTCCGTTTTGCGTACTGGTTCTCCTGCTCTTGTTTCTGTAAAATCCGTAGTTTTTTCCATACTTTTCGTAGCTCGTAGTTTTTCATGAATTTCCGTAGAAACTACGGAGAATCCGTAGTAGTTGGAGTCTATGCGATTATATGGTTATTTCCTACCGAACTCACAATATCCCCTAATTGTTTTGAAAAGTGAATATGACCGCAAGATGTTATTCCGCAGTAGAAAAGAAACTGAACCTAAAACTCCATTACAGATCTATGGATAAAATGTTTTTCCAAGCCTAGAGTAGCACTTCAACTACTCCTTACTATTTCATTATCAAATGCTAGCTATGAACGTTCGTTCAGCAAATTAAAATAAATTTGGACATATTTACAATCAGCGATGGGACAAGATCCCCTAAGTCATCTGGCATTTTTAAATGTGGAAAGAGAAAAATTTCAAATGATAGACTGACAAGAAAAATGTATACATATTAATTAATTATATTAATGTATTACAATATTAAATTTTATTAATAAATATATCTACTTATCTACAATATATATTAAACTTTTTAATGTTTAAAATTTGTACTTTTTTAAAAACAATTATATAAATATGTCAAATAAATAATACCTTTTTAACTAATTTTAGATCATCGTATGTCTGATTTTTCTGCTGACACAGATACATTTCCGAATCCAATGCTAGTGCAGTTAGGTAATGGCTATTCTGAATATATTTTAGAGTATTTTATTGCAGATTCAGCATTTTATTATTATTTGTATTATTTTCTTATTATGAATATATTCTATACATTATATTACCGTAAGTGTTTTTTTGGGGAGGGAGCGAAAAAAAGGTATCTTGCCCCGGGCGCCAGTTATGCTCGCTACGCCACTGTTTCCACAATATTTTTTTTTTAAATAAATTTTTGAAAAGTTCAGGTTTACTAGTTACAAAAGAAAAAGAGCTTAACAAACAACAACAACAACAACAACAACAAACAACAAAAAAAAAAAAAAAAAAAAAAGAGACATAAAACGGTCTGTATTAAACATGCACACTTACATTATTTATTGTTAAATGCATTATAAATTTTGGAACAAGATCTCTAAAAGTTTTTGTTATTATCTTCATGTAGGATTCAACTAAATTTCGGATAGTTTCAACTTGACGTTCTAATTGAGGATCCATTGAGGTTGTACTATCATTTTCTTCAATCTCGCCATTCTGATTTGACGACCTTTCTGGATATACACCAGCCCTTAAAAATGATGCTTTCCAACTGTCAACTTCCTCTTGACTCTCACATGATAGCTCCAACTGTTTATTGTCCTTAAATACATTCCTAAAATGTGAAAGATACTTTTAAAAGTTGTTATAGAACTGAAACAAAAAATGATTTTAAGTTTAAAGGGAGGGGAAAAAAGTAAATATAAGCTTTAAATATCCTAATGTAATTTTAATAATGTAATAATGTAAATAATGTAAATTTTATCGATAATATTACACACTCCAAAGATAAACTAAAATGGAAATTAAAAAATTTATAAAATTAAATGAAATAATTGTAACTTGCTAACAAAGCAAATGTTCCTTAAAATGAAAGCCTTGGTAAAAATTATAATGGAAAATTTTGCAATCTAATTTATAAAATTAAAAATTTATTTTATTGTAATTTCTCTAATGACCGATGTATATTATATTTATACTGAGTCTGGAATTAATATTACTGACACTAAAAGCATTATCTGTAAGGAATAAATTTTTGTGCTGCATCTTGAATATGCAATAAGGATTAAAGAAAAGAGAACTAAGGGTGAGCAGTCAGTTACAAATACAGTCAAAAAGTCTTTAATCCGGACCTCAAAGCTACAAACTTTCTGCGCACGTGCATAACACCTTTACACATACGCATTACGTTTACACATGCGCGTTTAATGTATAACGGACAGTATAAGCTAAGCTAAAATTATCTATTTCAGTTAATATTGCAGATTGTGTTGTTCCTTAATCTTCTAATTGGATCCGGCTTATTATATTTTGCAGACAGTTAGAGCAATTTTATAAAAGTAAGCTTGAACTTTCGATTATGTCAAAAAGAATTTCTGATTCTGGAGCTGCCAAAGGATCTACAAAGCGAAAGCATGTTTCGATGCCCATCAAACAAAAGTGGAATTGCTGCAAAAAATGGATAAAGGCATATACTTTGTTTCTCTAACCACTCTGGAATCTGTTTATCAATTTCACACAGCTGTGTGTGTGTGGGGGGGGGGTAGGTTGTGGCACGCAATGAACTCGAAGTTGATCTGTCAGCACTATCCTTACTCCAGGGCAGATGTTTTTATTTTATTCGGCTTATAATTCCTTACTAAATGTAGTATTTCATCTCGATGTACTCCGTCTTTGATATGATTTAAATCAAATTCCTCGTCATTATAAATATCACGGTTACACATCAAATAGTTTTTTGGTTGCAATTTTCTAATTTCGAACTATGCGTAATATATGCTTTACGCATGCGCGCGTTGAAAGAAATAAATATTAAGCTTCTTTTGTAAATTTTGATACCTTTTAGATCATAATTGCTCTTTATTTCATAAATTACGGTTTCATATTTTTAATTTTATAATTTCTCCATGCCATCTTACCAGATTTAAACTGATGATCTATAATCCGGAATCGCCGAAGTCCCGACGAGTCTGGATTAAAGACTTTTGACAGTAATTAAATTACATAGCTAGATACTCTTTTACATGGTTATAATTACAATTTTTTTTATTTCTAAAAAAATATTCATTAAAAAACACCAAGAACATTTTACAGCAGTTATAATTTATGTATATATTATGATTACTGAAATTATATTAGCATAATTATACATGATGATGATTCTGAAATTATATTAGCATAATTATACATTAAAAGCTACAAAAAATTTATGTTTTGTAGCAAAAACAAACAGTAAATTATATGAGTCTTTTTTACTTGAAAATGTTTCAGATATTTTAACTAATTTCCACTGATTTTCTTCTTCTAATTCTTTCAATAAACAAATCAATGTTTCCATTAGTTTTTGCTTCATCTCCTAACATTATTTTTCAACTTTTTTAACATGTACTCCTAACCTTAAACCTATTTACTCCTAACATTTTTTAACATGTCAACAATGCGCCTTTGAAGTATAATTTTCTCTCTCTTTATAAAATCAATTTCTTTCTCAATGAATTTCCTCTTCACTTTAGAATTTTCAAATTTAATTAAAGATTTTTGTTATTCTATATAATTACTTAGAATGTACAGATGAAATTGCTAATTTTATTTCTTAAATAATATGAGTATTGAAAATAAATATGAAATGATATAAGATCAAGATCAGTGTGGAGCCAGTGTGACAGAATTTTCACAATTTAGTGAAGCATAAAGCAACACAATTTAGAGCAGGCACTGAGGTATGTATGGTGCACTGAAACACATGATGCATCTTTTAATTCATTGCCGGTGTTTAATTTCTTTGCTTCAATAAAATGCTTATGCCTGGTGGAAAGATAACAAAATAAAGGGTAAATAAATGTATTAAGTGAGAATCTAGGATCAAAAGGAGAAAATTCATATAATTTTTTCACTGTTCTTCCAAAAATTCTCCAAAATGTAATTCATCACATTTTTCTGAAAACATTAGGTCTATAAATCTTGTCTTCAAAATAATAACATGTAAATCTTGCCTTTAGACCTTTCAAGGCAAAAGGTCTAAAATTTGAAAGAAAAATTATCCCTACCAACTCTGTAAAAGCAAAAAGCCAGAACATTTTTGAAGGGAGGAAAATTGAGAAAAGAGAAGGGTAAAATGAATTTTCAAGAGAAAACTGATATATATTTAAATATTCTGAAACAATAACATGAGAAAACTCTTAACATTAATAATAATAAAAAATGAAATTAATTTAAAAATAATTACATTAGCATTTTTGTTTTTTTCCAAGAAGTGCTGCAGAAACTGTGCTTTAGCATTTATTATCACATTATTTTTCAGAATCAAAATATTTTTTAAGTCACCAATAAAAACTAATGTCACTTTAAAATATGGCAGCAGAAAAGAAAAATGTTTTATTTTAATGTTATTTTTTAAATATAATTTTAATTTATTATCATTTTTATGATATTTATCAGTATTAATATGTTTGTAAATTATACTATTTTTTGATGTAATATTTCATGAATTCTTCATTTGTAAAAAAAGAATTACTTTGAAATGCTTATGTTTCAATGGAAGCATGGCCTTGTGCTTCTAAAACTCGAGTATCCACTATTTAAATTAAAAAGCAGGAAAGAATTCAAATGTTAACCAATCAAATACATATTCGTCAATGAATTGCCAAAAAACATATTCCTCCAAAATGTCAATTCACACTCAAAATGGCAGTCGTAATAAGATGGACAGAAATATCAGATAAGTAAAATTAAGGACCTTTTGCTGGTGTTTAGGGGAATTAAGGTCTTTTTACTGTTTTTGAGGGAAATTAGGGACTTTCACGAACCAAAAATAATTTCCAAAAAAACCTATGGAATTTTAAGTATTTTTAAGGACTGTACGAACCCTGATGAAAATTTTCTGGGAAATTAGGGACTTTTAAGGTTAAAAAATCATTTCCAAAAAAACCCACGGCCTTTTATTTTTAAGGACTGTATGAAGCATGATGAAAATTTTCTGCATGAATTATCTGACTATAGCAATGATACCTAGCAAACGAAACATACTTTATCAATGAATATTACATAGGTAGAAAAACTGTTATTTTGTAACTTTTCTTGTATTATTAGAAAATCCATATCACTTGACATAATCAACTGGTTTTAAATGTTGCAGCATTAGGAAATTATATATAGTTTTAGTTGCAATCTCTGTCACTACGTCCTTCACATGAATGGTTGTGGAATACAGTGAAATGTTCCAATTCATTGCTAATGTAATTAGTGGATTTTGTTGGCAATGCACAAACTCTTACTTTTACAGCTGTTTCAGTAAGAAAATACTTGCCCATCCAGGTCCTTTTCCTCTACATTTGGCCACCAGTATCTTAGAACTATTGATAATATAGTGGACTCAGATGGTTTGGTGGATTATGAAACAGACTGCCTTTGAAATGCACAATGCATAGTAATACTGTATAAATACTTTATTTCTAAAACACAAAATACTCTCTACTGTACACTTGCCATTTTGAAAATGGAATTCGCATCTGCTATGATATATGCCTTAAAGGAAAGCCTGTATGCACAAATTTAAAAAAAAAAAAAAATTGTTATGTACATTTTCTTTTGTTATGTGATTATTAAGAACATTTATGATATATAAGCTGAAAATTATAAATTTCAACGTGCTATTAATAATTTGAAATAGCTCTGCTTTTCAAATTTTCAGTTACATAGTATGATCAGAGAATGTAACATCAGCCAAAAGAAGCATATTTTTAAAGTACAAAATTAGAAGAAAGTTCCATGCTATCTTACCTACTGTCAGGGTTAAATAATGCAAAAGTATGCCTACGAGACATAAATCCAGCTTCAATATCTTTAATTTTCAGACCATCTAAAGGAAGCATGTACTTTCGTTCTTTCTCCTTTAAAAATCAACATTTAACACACTATAAATAATTTTAAAGCTTAAATCTAAATTTAAACAAATTTCACAAATATAATTGCTGAAATTAAATATTTATACAAAAAGGACAGACCTCTTCATCTTTATACCACGTAAGCAGTTCTGATGTTAGAACAAACCAATAATCCCTAGAACCTCCTTTCATTATACCTAAGCTATGAATACACATCCAGCCTTTCCGAATAACCTAGAAAAATATATTGAAAACATTTTCTAAGACACAACGCTAATAATAACAAAAAAAGTTTGAAGATGAATATAGAGGGAGTTAAAGCTTCTTTTAAGAAGCATGAGTGAGGTATATGAATAGTCAAAGTTACAAGGTTTCATAACAAGTCTATGTTGACAAATATTAAATAAAATTTAATATCGAAGAAAGAATATGGGAGCTAGACACAGAAAAAGGTGTCATAAGAGTATAAAAGCAACAGCCACATATCCTGGAAGATGTAGAAAAATTACTTCTAACGCAGAAAACCAAAACACAAAAAAAAAAAAAAAAAAAAAAAAAAAACAAAACAACTACAACAAAAAGGTTTTCACAAGAAAGCAGTTTTTTATCAGCAATAATAGGTAGTCACAACTTTATCAGCAAAAAGTAATATAGAGTTTTTAAAACAAAAAAAGCTTCAAGCATAAAAGCATGAGAGTTCCGAGAGAAAAAAGTTTTGTGAACGCACCCAATTTCACTTCAGGTACATTATTAGAAAACAAAGAAAGCTTCAAGGCAAACAAAAGATTGTTTGATACCTTTCAGAGAAGTAACATCCATAGTTTTGTGACGCAAAAACAAACTACAAGCCTGGATGTTAAAGTTAAGCTTTCACTTAGATTTCAGAAGCTTTTGGCCCCAATAAATTTTCAAATGTGAGATACAACTTTTTTTTTTCTTTTTCAAATGACGTTAAAATAGGCCTACATTATACCAGGGCAGAATGCAAAGCCCATGCAAAACTACCTCACTTTCTTGAAAATGGGGATTTCAAAATCAAGCTCCAGCACATTCTGAGAACCTACAGGCCTTCAAGAAATACAGAGCCGCTAATCGACAAAAAATATTATACAGAGGTTCAACAGCAAAGCCTGGGTCATTCATACTTTTAATGTTGAAAGGACCAATGAAGTCTTCGACCTGCAATAAAAAATATGTTTTAGAAAGGAATGTGCCACTTAGTCTTCTTGTTGGTTATGGATAAAGCTCCTACTCATTCTCCAGGTCTTTAGATCACCAATAAAGCCTGGATAAGTCTTCTATTCTATTTAAAAAAACTGTGGTCTGATTGCCTTGTTGGACATAAATTTGAGGGCTTTACTCATGAACAGAAGACATCAATTAACTGTGTCTTTGGGTAAGACCATGAGAATGAAGGTGAATGAGAACGACATTCAAGAGTATGATACAGGAACATGCTCAGCAACTAACTACCAATAAGTGATGGACCTGCATCATGAGTAATAGCAAAAAGGGAGGAAAAGGAGGACAAGTTAGAGGAATTCCCCACTTGAAACAACATAAGAAAATGAGGAAAAGAACGAAATATTTTGTAAAGCCCATCCCAATGGGACTGTGGCAATGATGAATTTACTTAATGATAATGCAATACCAGATTTCTGTAAATTCTTCAAAAGGAGGCAAAAGCAACTGCAATTAGATAGGCTCCTTTTTAAAGTTGAACAAACAAACAAAAACAAAAAAAAAAAAAAAAAAAAAAAAAAAAAAAAAAAAAAAAAAAAAAAAAAAAAAAAAAAAAAAGATTCCAGTGGGCCAACAATTCTTCCATTATTAGCCCTGATTGTTTTCAAAAGTTAAAGGCAGGTTAATTTGTTTTGCATTTTTCACTGTACATTTTGTTTTAACCATTTTTATGTGAATATTTTTGGTAGAACAAACTATCTACATTTTTATTATTTCTTATGATGAAACTGCTTTGATATACGAGCACATTTTAGAACAAATCATGCTCAAAAACTATAATTATTACTACTGTATTTCAAAATTCAGAATTTTACAACACATAACCATAAGCTACCAATATGAAAATTAGAAAAACCAATTAATTGACACAAAAAGAGATAATTATTAGTTTCTCTTTATTTGAAATATATAGGAGGAAAAAAGGCAATGTACTGGATACAGCTTATTCTTTTTTAACCATCTGCACTTTTCAAATAAGGTTCCTTGCATATGCATACAGTCTACTAAGCAGAAAGGGAATTTCAGCAGAGTCTTATGACAGAGGTGACAGATGATTAAAAATAGAAGGCAAGAGCAAAACAGTTACAGGGAAAAGGCTGACACAGCAACATGAAACTGCTATATATTCAAAATACTGTATGTTTTTAGAACTATGACATATCAATAAATATGCTGATTGAAAAACTATAAACAGAAATGCAAAACATTTCAAAACAAATGCTTAAAAAATGTAAGAATTTTTTTGACAATTCTATATTTTTTTTTCTTTGGTCTCTTACGAACAAGTATTTTAAGCAGATTTAATTTTCACTAATAATGACAACTGGAGAAAAACCACTTACCTGATTTCCTAATTTTCTCTTCCCAGTGTTAGCTTCAGCATTAACTTGAGCACTTTTGATTAGGAAAAGGTAAAGCATTTACTAATATAGTAAACATTACTCAAAAGATAAAAATCTATTAGTTTTCTTTACATAAAATGCAATAACAGAAAAAACAGAAACAAGTTAAGTTGTTATTACACTAACATTATATAATATTTCAAACTACACTCAGAAAAAATCACTATACATCACTTTATTTCATGATATTTTGATGACATTTTCACCAAAGAAAATACATTAAAATATCTGCAAATCATATGCATTATTAGAAGCTTTAGGGAAAAAAAAAAAAAAAAAGGCATATAAGATCAATAAGCAAAGCAATGAAACAAGTTTGGATATGATTGAGTGTATGTATTAACTGGTAGTAACATAGGCTAAAACAACTGCAGTCAGTGAGGAATAAAAATTAGGCAATCTGCAGAACATTTGAATTTATAAAAGTAGTCCCCATTTGAAAAATTGTTAAGAAGCACTGCATTATAAAATATCTATTATCTCTCATGACACTGTGCTACATTTTTAATACAGTTGCAATTATTGTCCTTTTCATGCCCTCATGTATTTACTGGATAAAAGGTTTAACAAATGTGCTTTTTATAGCAAGATTTCACATTAACAGGTTCAAATCATGGGACCTCAAAATGAGACTTTGTGCCATATCACAAAAAAAGGAGGATGAGAAATGTTTCTTTTATTAGAGTAGGACTACATTACCATTTAGTTTCAAAGAAAAGACATGATTCATTACTTAAGTCCCCAGCCAAGAGCTCTAATTTATTAATATCAATGAAGACTGTTTTTCTGCATGTCGATAATGGTACATATGTAGCACTTAAAACAATATTAAAAAAAAAAAAAAAAAAAAAAAAAAAAAATGTTGCTTCTATTTGTGCAATGACTGCACGACTACATTTTGTCAAAGCATTATCAACTGCAGCCCAATAACATAGTTATCATTAATGTCATGCATAAGAAGTGTCTTCCCAATCTGTCAAGGACTATGACTCATCAGAGTGAGCTCGTTTCTAACCGATCATACTGCATATACTGTTAGGACTAGACTTACATCAAGGCATGCCGATGATCCAGCAGAACAACAAAACTATAGTTTAGAATGAGCAATTGCCTTCTTATTCACTCTTGCACTTTGCAGTTGCAATTATCATTTTGTTAGTGATTAAATGATAGAAATTTTTAAAATAATATTTTTGTTTATTAATAACCACATTAATATTTTTTTTTAAATACAAATTAATCTCATCTCCTTGCAACATTGCAACTTTTCTTCCCAGCAGGGTACATTAAGCTTAATTCAAGTAATCTTTGAACTGAAGGTCTAGCTATATATTAATTTAACGATTCTGATATGTTAAGTTTCAATTTTCACAGCTAGTTAACTCTGTACTCTTAATACATCATTACTATTTAATATTACTCACAAACAGTTATTGAATTTATGTAGCAATTTTAGTGCCATTTTTTACTACGTACATTTGAAAAAAATATTAAAAAATCAAACTGTCATGGTCTAAACTTGCATCTTTTTATCTATTATATTGAAATCTAAATGCATTTCTTACAGTTGCTATTCATATAAAACATTTATGTAATTCTTTAAATCCATTAATTATACAAAGAACATAAAAATTAGTAATTGAATCTGAAAATTACTGAACTAAAGTTTGGTATAGCATTTAATTGGTACTACTAGAGAAATAATTTAATAGTACAAATTCCAACTAGCATAAAAGAGGGGAGAAGGGAAAAAAAAAAAAACTCAAATAATGTCATAAATGTAAGAAATCAAACTACTGTATATGAAAAAAGGAGGGTGAATTCCAAATAGTTACACACTTAAATTCAAGTTATCATTCACTTTTTCAATGATGGCAGTAACCACAAATTAAAAGTTAAAAGACATTTAACTGAAAACAGCATAAACTGTAGTCTTGTAAGAAAATACGAAATTGTTTCTATGATTTAGAAGTTAAAAGTTTTACATGATTTCTATTGAACTAGATCTACATATAAACAAAAAAGAAACATAGTTGGAGGTTTTAATAATTCATAATACATTCAAAATGATGTCCGGTATTTTAACATATTAGAATAAACAAACACTTATCTGAACAACTTTAAAGGAAAGCACAACTCAGATATCTTTATTTTATCACATCATAAGTGTTTGATACGGCTTCCTCAAGTCACACAGACAACATCCAGATGATAGTACAGTTCTTTCCACAGTCGTTTGAGCATGTTTGGTGTTCAAAGCATTGCCTATGCATGTTCACAAGTCCCCAAAATTGCATGGCAGTGGTGGCACATACACATTGTCTTTTTCAAAGCCCCAAATGTAAAAGTTATATGGGGTGATGCACGGTGACCTGGAGGGAAACAAGCAAACATCACTTTGTCGTGGGCTAGAGAATGCTGCCTCATTACTACGAACAAGCCGGCACCTCCCCACTAAAAAATTTCACATTCGCTTTTATTCTGCATGTTTATACAAATCTCCACTCATTGGTACTTGTCTCTAGGAAGTAAAGTTTGAGTCATCTGCTTTGTAAGGTTTCATTTACTATAATTTTTTCAAAACAGGCCACACCGTTATTTGCACAAGTTCCAGTAATTGCTTGCTTTATTAAGTTGATTCCTTTGGGCTGTATAGAAACGTCGTTCTTATCTTTTCCACATTATTATTACTAACAAGTGGTCTCCTTGTGCTTTGCCTTTACAAAGATAGCCTGTTTCTTCAAATTGATGATATCACTTTCGAATGCTTCTGCCTACAATACTACCTTTCCCAAATTGTCTATGAAAAACATGATGGAACAAAATTACAGATTATAATCTTAAAATGCTGCAAAGAGCCTTCTTTTCCTGAGATACCATTTTTCATTCTAGCGATTGCAGCCCCACACCTTTCATACTTAATACAGGTTGTAAGGAAAAGAAAATGTTTTGGGTTTTCCTTTCTTTGAAACCCGTTCTGGTATAGATCTCTATGCCAGAACGTACGTAAAAATCACTTTAAAAGAATATAAAAATGAATATATTATAGTCTTTTAAAATACCATATATCATTTTGAATAAGCTTGCATTTTTTTTTTTTTTTAATTTATGGAATTAAGTCAAAGACCTAAACAATTAAATAAATGCAATAAAATACTAAAAACTACCTTTTCTTTCCGAAGAAACTTACAGTAATACCTAGTATTTTCATATTCTTTTTATAGTACAAGGAATGAAATCATTATGAAACATTAATACATACTGTTTCATATCTGATAGGAAATCAATGAAAATAAAATTCCTTTGAATATTACAACAAAACGTAACATAAATTTAGAATAATCAGTGAAGAAAATCAAACCTCGGACCAAACTACTAGTGTTCAGCAACTTTACTACTTGGCCACTGGCGAGCTTTACAGCTGTTATTTTTGTTACATGCAGATAATTAAGGTACTGCTTTTTGTATATTTTGTACCTTAAAAAAAACTGCCAAAAATTTTAGTCATTTTTTCTTTCCATTATAATGCATCTGTAAGAAAACTATGATTCTGCTAGATGCTTTCTTTTTATGAATCAACAAATTTAATAGCCAGAAGTGTACTTTCCCTGCCTCTAACAATTACAGTCTCAGTAATATGGCTTTTATAAAATTAAATAATTATTTAATGAAAGTTGAAAACTATACAATATTTAAAGAAAAATAGTTTCTATTAGAAATTATCACATAACTAGAATGTATTAAAAAATTACTTTCAGAATTCAATAAATTCAGACTAGAACAATTAACCTAATTAAATATATATTTTTGATATAAGGAATGGTGCAAAACATACAATTTTCTTAACATGTTAATGTTTACATGCGTAAGAATGTTACACTGAGAATTATTCTACAATCAAAAGTACAAGGGATCCACTAATAACCTCTATACAAATGATTCAGATTGCTACAACTTGTTTTAGAAGAAACTATAATAAATTGGATGCAAAAAGTGCATGTTTCTGTGCAATATGTAATAATTAAAACTTTTTAACCCCAAGAAACCATATCCCCTTATTAATTCTATGAATTATTAAAAACAGTCCTTAATAACACTTCCAAGCCAAAAGAAGTACAGACAGAATTAGAATAGAAATGTATCAAATTTGTTAATTTTGAAATGTGAGCAGCATCAGATGAAATTGAATAAAACAAACATTTAAAAGATGTTAGTTATATATAACAAAAAGAAAACATGCAAAATGTGAGGAATGATTCATGAAAAAGATCAAAACATGCAAAACCCAGTAAGATAATGACTGTTATAAAAATTAGGAGGAGAAGGATACTCTACAAAACTTAAAATATAAGTGTAGGAACTCACCCTCCAATATAATGTTCTATGCTGAAAGAAACAGGGATATAAATAGACATAAAAAAAAAAAAAAAAAAGAAAAAGGATTAACTTTAAGAAAAATTAAGAATAAAATTTTACCTTCAATGGAGAAACTTGACAAATATGACAAAAACAAAAATTTGAAAAAAGCTTTCAAATATTATAATACACAAATTAACTAAGTATGTCTAAGATTAACTACAAACCAGCACAAAACTAATATAAAAAAATACTGATACACAAAACATTGAAAAAAATGCAAAAGGGGGGAGGAGAGAGGACAGTTTATAGTTTACCATAAAATATATATGCTCTACAACAAAAGGATTAAACAAATCAAATTGATGATAATTGCTCTTAAAAACAATGTTTCTCAATCTTTAATAATGACTAACACAAATAATGAAACATGGAATTATTTTACACAAATACATACATATACAAACATATACATGCATACAAGTCAAACCTCTGTTAAAAAACAAAACCTGAATTTCCAAACCCTGGTAATAAGATGCTAGTGCATTTTAACCCAAAGAATAGAAGCTCTAATAGTATATGTAAAACACTGGAAAATGCTGAATAGCTTTTAATTTTTTTTAAAGATATTACGCATTATTTAAACAGAAGAATGTCAAGTAATATACTTGTTCAAAATGAAAGTATGGCATTTAAAAAAAGAGAGGAAGGGGAGTGGTAATTATAAGAAATTTTAGGCACTTGAAGGGGCAGAAATTGCAAAGTGACATGCAACGATGAATATGCAAACATGTTTTTAATTTGGTTTCAGAACTTTTGTGAAAAATGCAGCATGATGGGAAAGGAACTCTTTCAGCATATTGTTGTACTAGCTTTGAACAATTCTTATTTTTGAGATTGTGATAATTGATTCTATTCATAGATCAGATCATGCACTTTTATATACTGCACATATATTCTTTCATTTTTTTTTTTGAATGCTTTAACACTATTGTGAGAAACTGTGTATTCAGATGGTTTGATTTAGAGTTTGGTAGTATATTCAGCATAGCATTTTAATAAATATATACATATATACTCTTCTGTTATCAGGACCAGATTCAGAAGTGTACATATATAAATGAACTATGTATGTACATATATAAAGGAACACATGCATACATATATATAGACATTTCTGGAGCCAGTCCTGATAACAGAACAGTACAAAAGTTTAAAAAAAAAAAAGTCAAAGGAGAGTGAACGAAACAGTCAGTGCTCTGGAAAAAAAAAAAAAAAAAAAAAAAAAGTTTATGAATAATTTCAGAATGTTTTTTAATTGGATTGGGTTTGTTAAATTATGGTAAAGGGCAGTAAGACTTCTTGTTGTCTAAAGAGAGAAATTTTTCACAGAGGGTTTTCTGAAGATTCATGTCTTGTATTCTCATTACTAATGAGGAAAACCATAAGAATGGCCATGTAACTAGCTTGTTCACTAGAACTGCTTTCAAATTGGAAAACTACAAACTGTAGAATAACTCAGAAAATTAAAGAAATATAGTTCAGTTACAATTTATTATTTTCAATCTGTATGCCCCTCAACATTTCTGTAACTACTGGGACAGAAACTTGAGTGCTAAATCATAAAATAAGAAATTTAGGTGAAGCTACAAACAGCTGGTTCAAAAAAATTTCAAGTTAAGCATAAAATGTTATTTCTATCAGTCTATAATATTTTGTATAAAAAACGTCCTCATCAAAAAGGCTAGCTTTTCATGGGTTAACTGTATCCTAAGCAAACGAAGGTAAAATGGAAATATACACAAATGTTTTAAAAATCAGACGCTATTTCGCAAAATAATTCTTAAAAGAAAAATAAGTTATATCTTACTTTGTGAAGCCAATAAAGTCCTCATGATTTGTATTCATATAAGCCAGCTCTACCTCAACCAAAAGACTTAACTGCTGTTTTGTCTTCTGTTCACATTCTCTAATATGTGTAGTAATAATCCTTTCAATTTCATCACGTAAATTAGGATAACGATTCATCTGATTCATGGGGGGGGGAATTAAATACCAAATTAAAAATCATAAAATTTCACTGCAAAAAAGATTTTATAAAAACAATATAAAAGATTCAGGAAAAAAAAAAAAAAAAAAAAAAAAAAAAAAAAAAAAAAAAAAAAAAACAAAAAAAAAAAAAAAAAAAAAAAAAAAAAAAAAAAAAAAAAAAAAAAAAAAAAAAAAAAGGAAAAAAAAAAAAAAAAAAAAAAAAAAAAAAAGAGGTTCAACAGCAAAATTTTGATTTTCAAAATTACACAGACAATAAACATAATTTTCTATCATCTTTATATGCACAAATTTGATCAATATATGTGAAAGAGTATTATTACTAAAGAAATATTAATTAGATCTTTACTTTCTTTAAAGTTTTGTCATTCCCATTCTCTCACACTAAATTTAATTCAATTTTTTTAAGCTTAAAGATTACCTGAAATATTTTAACCCTCTGACAGGCCACTGTTTTCGCTAAGAAAGTACAATTTTCCCAAAACTACTATGAGAAAAAATTATTTTCTTGATTTTAATGCAAAAATTCTCCTGGTATTTTATACCTGGATTTGTGTACTTTTAATAGTTTGCCTTACTTTCTCTGACATATTTTAATATGCACGTATATATACGTTCTTACAGATATCACTAAAAATATTATTTTAATATGCACGTATATGTACGTTCTTACAGATATTACTAAAAATATTGTGCCGGTTAAGCTGCTGTCACATACGATATTTGTTGTCGAAACATAACGTTAGACAGAAGAATTCTGGGAAGTGAGCTTCTGCGAAATTGGGTTACCATCTTCACCTGGTAAACAGGCTAAAAGCCAAACAAGAACCAGTTATTGCTCAGATTGGTTTCCTTTCAAGTGACGATTGCTTTTCTGTGTTGTATTTTGTATCACTCACACTATTTTCATTTTAAACTTTATTGTTAGATATGGAAAATAATAGAAAGGTGATAGCTATTAAGTAAATCACTTTTATTTCGACTCTGGCGATTCTAAAAGTTAAAAAGAAAAAAATGTGCAAAGAGAAGTCCTATTCTTTATAATGATCTGTTGTATATATTTGATTTTATTATTGTAAATAGTTATTTTTGTATCCATATATTTATTTAATCATTTTTATGTATATGATATAATGCCATTTGCTGATATTTGTTTTGTGACAAGTCAAAATTTTTTTAATTTATCCCCAAAATGTTAAATATTTCATAAAGGTTACTTGCTCAAATTTTTTTTTTTTTTTTTTTTTTTTTGTTTAAATTCCCAAATATAGTTGCAAATGCAAAGGTTATGTGTAAGTGGGCGGATTTTAATGAATAGCCTAATGCACAAAATGAACTTCAATTATTTTTCAACTGTGTATTCCATATCTATGATAATGTGCAAAGAACTGATGACTACAGTCACTGACAATTACATAATCGTTATATGAATTAGAAGTAACTTCAAATAAACTTTTTGGCAATGTTTATTTTTGTATTCATACCTAATATCACACACACATCTACTATTTACCTACACATAGCAAGAGAGATGCAATGGTTTAGGAATTGTTGATGTATGTTTATTAGTATTAACATAATGAATAAGCTTTTTATTAGCGAATGTATATACAAATGTTTTTCATCCTTCATAATAATAAATCCATAAATTTCCAGTGCTACAACATGTAGCATTTATAATAAAAATATAATTCTTAATGTATTTATAATCTAAAAAGCATTTCATTTAATAACATGAAGATAATAGAATACAAATTGAATGTTATACACATTAATAATTAATCTATGCTTTAATAAATACAGTACAAAGTCCGTAATCCGGAATGATCTATAATCCGGACCTCAAAGGTCCCAAACTCTTTTTTTTTGTATGCTTTACGCATGCGCGCATTGAAAGAAATGTTTAATAGTGTAAACAAACAAATATTAAGCTTTTTTTTTTTTTTTTTTTTGTAAATAAAATTTCATACCCTTTAGATCATAATTACACTTTATTTCATACAGTTTCATATTTTTAATTGTATAATTTCTACATGCCATCTTACCAGATTTAAATTGATGATCTATTAATCCGGAAAAACCCCTAATCCGGAATCGCCGAAATCCTGACGAGTCCGGATTACACACTTTGTAACTGTATACATAATCACTGATTATGCAATTTCAATTTAAAAGTAATAAAAATAATTAGTAGAAAAGTAAAGTCTTACATATACAAACATATTAAAAAAAATATTCCCCTTAATGAAAAAAATTCTATTATATACCAATAATATTCTTTTCACACGATCAGCCCAAAATACGACAAATTTGGCAAACTTTTAGTGATGAATAATTTGTAAACAAATCATCAGGCATAGCATGTCATAAAATATTGTCTACTCTGAAATTTCCACAATTATAAATTTAATGAATTTATAAACATTTAAAAATGACTTAGACAGTTATACTACAACAAAACAGCAATACATATATATGGCTTTTTCCGTATTTCTTCAATTAAATCAGCGTCTATTTCCACAATGAGAGCTATTGCCATATTGAAAATTATCCATGATCCTTCAGAAGCAGAACCTTCATCTAATTGATTGAACGTACGCGGAACACGTCTCCAGAGAGAACATTTCTGGAAAAGTTTCAAAATGTTTCACCTAGTTAGACGAAACATTTCTCGGAAGCCTCCCGCTTAAAGCAGTGCTACTAGAATCTCATTTCTCAGAAATGTCCCACCTTGCCGAGCACATCTATAGAAGTGATAAAGCCCTTAGAGGGTTAAGCGAAATGATGTTAAATATACAAAATTTTATGGTACATAAAACCTGAATGGCACAGTTGCTTTTATCCAGTCACAAGATCCAAAATTTCATGGTGAACTGACAATAAGTTCTCGAGATATGAAACATAAAAGTTACCCCACATTCTTTGAATTTCTGTGAAAAACAACCTTACTTATTTACAGGAATACATCTGAAACACATATGTACAAAGTCAATGCTATAACTATTGCTTCCTTTGATCTTGACTTGATTTTATTTTGATTACTTTAATGATTATTTCCAGCAAAACAAAAAATATTTTGCTCCCTAAACACAGACCAATACAAGATTCCTTTGAATTGAATAAAGCTTTTAAACAAAATAAACATTAATTAATCTACGGTTGAATTTTACCTAGTTTTAAAAACTTAAATCAAAACTCCACATTTTCCTTGGTACTTGATGTGATATTTTTTAACTATTTCATTAATCAACTATTGACATAATGAATAATATGTTTGTTTACATACATAAAAATTCCTTATTAATTAAAATAGTTAAAATGATATATAGAATAATTAGCATTTATTTAGATCAATTTCTATTTATAATGAAATCTTACAGACAGGAAATGAAGGAAGTACAAAAAGTTGTGTAAGTAAAGGTTTTGTAACTACAACAACTAGAAACTTTTATTGTTTAAATCATGAAGCAGAGCATGCATACACTTAAGTAAAACTTACTTTTGTAGCACAAGACCTGACAACATTGGCTAATTCTCCAACAACCAAGTCAACACATTTTAGTGATGGTTCTTTTAGTTTAGATATTTGCTTTTTAACAATAGCTTCAAATGCCATATCTGGAGTGAATAAACCTACCCTAAGGAGAGAAATGGTTAATTCACAGTTTTTCTTTCTTTCTTTCTTTTTTTTTTTTTTACTTCAAAACATGATGCATATAATGAAAAATGTGTAACAGAACTCGGATGATATCATTTTAGATTTATCATAAACCAAGGAAAGCAAGCATGATTTAATCAAGTAGATTTCAAATGTTGGCAAATATGTAACACATTCTGTTTCTGATTTAATGCTTTTCTTCACTGTCACTTTTTTCCAACCAATAACATACCAAATTATCATCAAATTAACTCTGATTTAGCAACATATTTTCTCAAATTAAAGCTAATGTTTTTTAAGAATTAATATCTTCTACAGTCATGTAGGCTTTTGTAATTTAAAAATGGTAATGGAAAATTTTCAATGCAGAAAATTGTTCTTAACATTGGAATCACTTCGAAATGTCAGCAAGCTAAGCTTTGGTCTTCTGGAAATTATGAAACTTGTTTATGGAAACTAAAGTGCTTTAGAAAATTAAACATTGTTTTCACTCAGTGGGATTCATTCTTTGTAGCTGAACAATGCAAAAAAACAAGAGGAGGTGGAAGGTATTACGTTAACTGGTTGAAGTAATGCTATTTCAAAAGATTTGAATTTTCTGGGTATGTCCTCTGATGGATTGAGATTCGAGAGTTGAAATTAATGACTGTCAGATTGATAAAGGAATTTATATCTTAAGTGGAATGATCCAACCATGAAAGTGAATACAAAGCAGCTGAAAGAACTGAAAGTCACTTCAGCTGAAGCAAATAAGGTTCTAAAATACATACAGTATTTTGGCAGTGCCTGAAGCAGGACTACAATATTTTTAACACACATGGATATTAAAATGGTTCGAAGTGCTTTAAAGCAGATTTGTATAATAATTTTTCTATAAAAGGAATATTTTTGTTGTATATATGCTTAAAATATAAAAAAAAGCTAAACATAAAACATTTTAATATATTGCAATATGTATCATGTTTAAAACTGGATTAAGTTTGGCATTGACAATTATCTTTAACAGTTAGGCAATCATTAAATCAATTTGACTGTACAATGTAAATTCTAGCAGGGTTCCTATTCAAATTCAACTTTTAGCGACTTTCAGAATGGGATAGTTTTCCTGACCATATATAATGAACTAGTTGTCAAATTAAGTTTGAATAAAAGATTACTATATAATAATAATAATATGGTGATTAATTATGATTACTAAAAACAATGCCTGGGCTTACTACGGATATCATAAAAACTAATTATAGAAAAAGAAATAAAATATACTGAGAAAAATACATCTAAATTACTCAAAAACTTAGGCAGATATTTAAAAAGAAATATAAAATTCCGGAAAGAGCTGTTTATTCTGCAAAAGAAATACATAATGTATATCATTCATAGTAAGTATTATTCCTTTGGTGTTCCAAAATAAAGCTGCAGAATTACATGGGATTGAAAAATGTATTTAATTGATATAATTATTTATATTGCATACAAGCACACAGTGGGATTAGTTTTTAAACATATTATATTTATTTTTGTAGGATGTGGGATTACAAAGCTACATTTCCAAGGAATAACATGAAGAAATCTCACTAAAAGATGCAAAACAAAGTTATGGGTTGATAAAATCATATCGGATAGGAGACTCATAATACTTTCTGAAAAAAGTACTATTTTATGTTAATTCATTTTGGTATGATTTTGAATTATACTATCATTTATATGTTTTGTTATCTCTCACCATGATGTAAATGATATACAAGAACAAAGTTCTTGAAAGCTAGGCAACTCCGGCAACCATGTTGACTATAGTATTTTCCCTCACCTAGATCTGCAACTAATGTTATCTTGCGTTAGCCTTTTTTCTAGGCGATTCACACACATCTAGTTAAAACTCCAGCATTAAATCACTTTGGATTTTAAATTCACATTTTTGTTATTTGAAATCCTGCTAGTTGCATAGATTTAAGGAGATATGTGACATATCGACTGGCAAAATGTAACTACTTCAGAACAAAAGTTATTATGGTATAACTTTCTCAAAATAAACGGATACTCTAAATGCTTTTTTTCATTTAAAATATACAACTTGTAGATTACATAAAATGTAAATTTAAAGCTTAATGTTTTTAAAAATCAGTTGTTTAATTTCTTTTACCTTTAACGAATCTTTTGTGACAGTGTGCTAGTTTGCTACACTTTTCTTAAAAAAAATACTGTATTAAACTCTTTAAAATGTTGCATGATGGTTAAAAGCATATAATTTAAGAATAATAATCAGCAGTATTTTACATTTTACTTAAAAAGAAAAAATATTAAAAATAAATTAGTAAACTGCTTTGAAAATCATAGGAAAAAATGGTATTAAATTTTTAATATAACCAAAACTAATGATCACAAATTTTATAGTTTCAAAGAAATAATTAAGATAAACAACTGTGGAATATTTAAACCTTCTAGGCTGAATAGTTTTTAAGAAAAGTGTACCAAAAAAAAAAAAAAGTTTTGAGAAAACTGACAAAAACATTTAAACACTAATGATTTATATATAAAAAAAAAATCATTTTAATATTTTCCTGCACCATAATCATCTTGAACTGGCATTTCTGCATCTAGTTGTTTTTGTTTTATTAACTTATGCTTTTTTCTGGCCATTTCAGAAAGCTTTTGGTAAGCGAGAGGAGTCTCACAAATTCTATCGCAAGCTTTCGATAAGCGAGATGGGCCTCACGAATTCTATCACAATCTATTTTCGCAAAAACTTTACCATATAAAATCCTGGTTTTATTCCTAAAAATTCCATTATTTATTGCAGCTTTGTACACCATCATTAAAATATATTACCACATCTAAAGAAACCTAATTATAAATGTGATAACACTCGCAAAAAACAGTTTTCGGCATGCGTGTCCAGATGCAATTATTAAAACTTTCATTCAGGTTTTGAGTTGCTGTTGTTCACTTGTCTGACATATAGCAGTGGCAACAGCCTTGAGCACCTTACAGGCGACAGTGCAATTTAGCTCAATTTCTGCCCCCAATTTTGAAGGACAGCATTCTAGGGGGGATGGGTCCGAAGGTCACCCACACTTCTCCCCTATAACCCACCTCTCGAGAGGACTTTCGGCTCGCCGCATATTTCGAGTACTTCCACGACGCACGGACACTATACATTTACAAAAATCAATGCCTTCTCCGAGATTCGAATCCGGGCCCCTTCGGCACAGCAGTGACACTAACCACTACACCGGTTGAGTGGCCGGTTTTCACTTCTTCCATGAATGCAATTTGACAGTAGTTTTTTTGGTCAGATAGACTTCTAAACACTCAGTTAATAAAACAGGTTCTAACAAAGAATGTTTATGAACATACATTTTATCAGCTGATATGGCTTTATTGTTGCCACACCAGACATCTGTCCCTTCTCATCTGGTAGGCTTGCTAGTGCTTGTTTACATATTTTAATAAAAGATTTTGGTCTTAAAATTTTAAAATATGGATAAATTTTTTTATTTTTGGAATTGTCTCGGGCTACTTTACTTTTTTAGCCCAAAATTGAAAATTTTTATGTCATTTGTTCCCTTAAATTGTAAGCACAAGTTGTGCATTTATTAAGTTCAAATAAAAAGGTTTTTTAAACCTTCCCCTGAAAATATAGCTACTTTCACAGATGAAGGAATAACTTGCCTGACAGACTTAGTAAGGTTCAAGAAAGTAAGTTAATTAAGAAGTGAAACTCTACAAGAAAAAACAAAAATTTCAGTTAACTCTTCATTTGTCCCCCCTTTTCAAGGGGAGTAATATTGTTTATTTTGCACTATTTAAAACCTGAATTTTTATCTCAGAATACTTACTTTCCTAATATTTCTGACTTTTTAGAAAAGTTTTGATATTTCCTTTCAGGAAAAATTTTATACTTCCCAACTTTGCAAGCAGGCTAATTGGTTACAACACTTTTCATTTACACAAAACATTCTACTCAATATTTTATGTTGAAAATGTTTTTAACTTTCCTGTCATTCTAACCAACACACATAACCTTTACACGATACAGTCTTTTGAAGATAATAATTTATTTCCTGGGGCTTAAATAATTATTGGTAATAAATACTTCCCCTGTAGTTGGTGCATAAAAAGTAAAATTTAAGATATAAATTCTTAAAATCCATTGAAATTTTACTTATTTAAGAAATTACTGAGTAATCAATGTACATTTAATACCAAATGATACTGCAGTTGTAACTTTGCACTAATACATCTCAGTTAACTTATAAATTTTTTTAATGCATGAAACTTAATACACGTACAAAAACTCCTGCCTGACTTAGTTACTTCAGAGCTCATTAAAAGTGCTGCAAGTCAAAACATTGAGGAAATACACCACCTCATCGAATCAGTTTGGAACCAAGAAGTTTTACCCGAAGATTGGAAACTGAGCATCATCTGTCCTATACATGAAAAAGGAGACATTCTGGAATGCACCAACTACAGGGGACCCAGTCTCCTTTGTGTTTTCTACAAACTATTTTCCAATATACTTTTTAGTAGACTTGTAACTTATACAGAAAATATTGTGGGTAATTACCAATGTGATTTCCGCAAAGGAAGATCTACATCAGAACAAATTTTTAACATTAGGCAAATTTTGGAGAAAACTAATGAATATGGCATTGCAACGCACCACCTTTTTGTTGATTTTAAGACTGTCTATGATTCAATAAACAGAAAGTATTTAACTGAAGATATGAGAGAATTTGCAATACCTGAAAAACTTATAAATTTGGTCACCATTATTCTTATTAAGACAAAACTTAGGGATAAAATCCAGAATAGTCTTTCTGAGCTTATTGTTGTTTCAAGTGGGCCCAGTTGGTGATGCACTGGCCTGCTTGCTTTTTAACCTTGCGCTCCAAAAAATCATAAAAGACTCCTACATTAATACTCATGGAACTATCTTTAACAAATCTGTTCAGATTTTTGCATTTGCTGATGATATTGACATAGTTACATGCAGTCCCGAGCCACTTAGAAAGGCTTTCACATCTCTAGAGGCTTCACAGCAAAATGCATCTAGCAATCAACCAAAATAAAACTAAATACATGCCATGTGGTAAGAATAGCAATCCCTATTTTGAAATTGGGAATTACAAATTTGAAACTGTTAGCAAATTTAAATATTTAGGATCAGAGGTTAATACTCTCAATGATTTAATGCCCAAGTTCTGTAGTAGAGTCACAGATGCTAACCGATGTTTTTTCGGTCAAAAAAATACTTGAAGTCTAACTTCATTAGCAGAAAACGAAGATTTTAATTTACAAAGCTTAATCAGACCCATTCTTACATACTCTGCTGAGACCTGGCGATGACAGAAAAAGCTAAAAGTATTACTTCTGTCTTTGTAAGAAAAATTTTGAGAAGCATTTTTGGTGGCATAAAACGTAACAATATCTGGAGAAGAAGAACTAACTCTGAACTCTAAATAAAGAAATAAAGAAATAGATATAGTAAAATATATAAGGATTCAGAGAATTAAATGGGCAGGACACCTGTGCAGAATGGATGAAAATCGAGTAAATCTTCTCAGCCAGACTATTCGGCACCCGAAAAAGAGGGATGTTTGGAAACAAACTTAAGAATTTAAAAAATAACCAATTGGATGTTCATGGCCAGGGATAGAAGAGTATGGAATTCGATTCTGAGAAAGGCAAGGGCCCATCCTGGGCTGTCTGGCCATTGAAGAAGAAGAAGACAAGGACTTCTGCCTTTACCTTACCTTGCAATAACAGGTGGGATAAAAGGAGGAAGGAGGTGTTTGTGTAATGGTTTTTCACAATAACTGGTATTTATTAACAAGTCCAAATGTTTAAAAAGAGTATAGATATGATGAAATGACAACTGCCATGCACACCAAAAATCACTGTTATCTTAATTTAGATGCATTTCCATATACTTTTTGCAGGAGGGCTATGAAAGGTTACTTCATAGATGAAAACACATAACAATAAAAACTATCAGTACTTTATTATCCACACCCCTGCCAAAAAGTATTCTTGAGGCAAAGCAATATGGTGCCAAAATAGTTATACGGCAAAACCAATATGTGCATAGCATGTATGTTTTGACCAGTGTGCAATTCTGATCTTTTTAAAGTAAAAACAGATCTATGTTTTCAAGGAAACAACAGAACAAAAAAGAATATTTCTTGAAAAAGGTAAGCGTTTTATTATTGATGTTTCTTTGCTTTTTAAAATTTTATTGACTGTTGTTTTCATATGAAATTATTAGCATGTTGCCATTTTAAAAATAGCTTGTGCTCTTGGTACATTAGTTGGCAAAAAGTTTAGGTCATTAATGTGTTTGTGAATGTTCATCAAAGTCATCAACAAATTCGTGACTTTTCGTTGGGATGTGGGGATAATCAACAAGTTCCAAACTATCTACACAGTAACAGAATTCTCTCATTGGAAATGGTAAGAGCTTTTGCTTACATAAAATATCTCATAAAGAACATTTAAAGTATTTTTACCTGATACCATGAATATTTCTGATAGCAAATGCTATCTCACGCCTCAGTTCCTTTTCATCAAACTCCATCTGTAAAAAGTTAATTCAATTGCATTATTTTGCACTAATTAAATCCAGCTTCAGTTTTATATCAATCTAAAACTGGCTGGCTATAAAAATTACTCACTGTGGAAATAGAAGTTCAATATGATAATTCACTAACAGATTTAATTTTTCCCCCTCCTTTTCTACTTATTTTTACTCTTAATACAAATATTACTGCTATTTAAATATTATGCATGGTTTAATTTGCCAAATTTAGCAATAATCAGCTTATAACAGCCTTTTGCAGAATTATTATAAGATCCACAGTTAAAAAGTTTCTACTTATTTCCCTATGGGAGATGTGCTAAATTTCAAAGAATTAGATACAATTTATTTATGACTGACATTTTAAAGTTACATTACCATTTATTAATTAAACTGAAAAATAACGAATTTAAGGAATTGACTAATTTACAGATAAATAACACTTTAAAGACATATCATCATTTATCTAAACAATAAATCATTTGAAAAAGTTTAGAAAATTTATGAAAAAATACTTCAAACATTTATTGATGAGTTATTTATTATTTTACAAATTAATACTTAACCTATCCCCTAATATCTACCAATGTTTAATTTAGACTTTCTGCCTTCAGTATGACAACTCAGAGGATAAGAACAATCTATCTGTAGCACACAAAAAATAGAAAAAGATATGTTTTTTAAAGGAAGTAGTCTAAAAACAGAAAAGATTAATAATAATTAAAGCAGACTGATTACTGCAGAAATAAACAAAATTACTTAAAGCAATTTTATTTATAAGAATATATATATGTTACAAGTAACTTTTTTTAATTTGAAAGGCACCCTGAAATAACATATTTACTTTATGATTTATTTTTTTATTTTATTTTCTGAGCTTACTGTTTTACTTTTCCCTTCTTCACACAAAAATTTAATTTAATAATCTAATTATTCTTAGGTTAAATCTATGAGATTCCACAAATCTTAATTATATTCATTTTGAAAAAATATCATGAAAGTAGATTTTGACAAATAATTAATGCATTTAACGACATTACCGTTCTAGTTGCCACTGAAGAGTTTTAAAAGGTTCTGTTTTCGGGTATGCTATTTACGCCCCCTTTTTAAAAAAAAAAAAATTGATATACATACAATTACAAATGAATTTTATTAATAGTGGAAGTGAAGAGTCAAATTAAAAAATAGAAAATTTATCCAATGCTCATAAATGCCCTATTTTTTAAACTAATTTTCTTTAACATTTAGAATTCACATTAACAGAAGAAATTTATTAAATTCTTTAAGTGATTAAAAAAAAAAAAAAATTTTTAATGTGTTAGTTATTAGGAAATATTTAAAATTAACAAGATGTTAGTTTGAAATATGCCACTGAACAATACTTCTTTTCGATCTGGTTCACTCAAAATACGAAATTTTGTTTTCATTCGGAATTTGCTTCGCCAGTTACCAGCGAATTGATTCAAGTGTTTTTTTGCTCCAACCTAAAATAATTTTATGAAAATTTATAGAAATTAATTTAAATAATTTTGCTTAAATACAGCTTCACAAAGTAATTCATTGTGAAAAGATTTAATTTTTCTTAATATTTTTTAATATTTATTATGTTCTCAAAGATAAAAACATTTAAATTGACAGAAAAATTTCAGATTCGTTTAAAGCTATTGACAAAATTATTACGCCCCAGCATCCAAAAAATTAAATACTGCAAAATTAGAAATCTCAATTTGATTGAAAAATGCAGTTATTATTTATTAAGATTAAAAGTAGATTTGTTCCCGCTACAAATATCATGAAAGATTAGCTTAATTTTGGCACTTCATAAAGGCTACACAAATTATTACTAAGATTATAATGAAATTGCTTCAGACAGGAAAGGCCCATTAAAATTGTAATGAATGTACCAAAGGTGTGACTACAAAAAGAAAATACACAGAAGAATTAAGACTACTCTACTCAAAAAGATAATAATACATTATATGTTATTAGCTCTCAACCTTTTTTTGTCCCATGCACCCCTTTCATCTCTGCAAGAAGATAATCCACTCCTTTCAAAATATGTTTTATAAATTAAACAATAAAAAGTAAAGAAATGGCTTATAAATACAAAGTAGTTTTTTATATTTATAAGCTAAAACTAAATACTTTCACAGCTAAATAAAAGGCCGACCCCCCCAATCGGTTCAGAATGTGTTACATGCACAACCATTCACTAATATTGTGAAATCTTCTGGAATGAGTAATGGAATCAGTAATTTAAACGAAAGGTTAAATAACAAACAGCTATTTAATGGGGTAATTATATAACTGACACAAGACAGATGACTCTTTGATAAAACCTATTAAGTTTACTGTAGATATTTAACGCCATGACAAAGCAATTAAATGAAAGATGAAATACAGACTTCCTTATGATACTGAATAAACCATCTTCATTAAAATCTATTAAGTTTATTGAAGATATTTAAAATTAACATCATGAAATAGGAATTAATGTCAGAAAAAATATGAACTCCTTTAACCATTTTGAATAGATCGGTCTCTACGGTGAAATTCTAATATGTTATACTATTATTTGTGCCCACTAAGATTAAAAAATTAGCACAAAGGAGTTTGATAAATCTGCCATTTTTTTCAACTTCCTATTAAAGTTGTTCACTAAAAACAATTTAAAGTATTAAAAAAATATTTATTTAAAAAAAAATCAAAATATTAAAAAAGATATATTTCAGTGGTACAAAATTTTAATATCAAATGATTTATACTAAAAATAAACATTACCTTAACAATTTCAAAGGGAAAACGTTCATGAAACAAGCGATTAATTTTAGCACCACCAGTCAGCTGATGTGTATCAATGGATGCTGATCCAGTGCCTTCAATATTTCGTTCGAAATCTGTTTGTAGTTGTTGAATCATCCTGAAGTGCATTAAATTTTATGTAATTTGCATATAATGATGGAATAAAGAGAATTGCTTTTAAAAGTTTATGCAATTCCTCATAACATACATAAAATATTTTTAGTTACTTTATTGAGAATAACAGATAATACAATCCAGCTCTTTCAGGAGTAATTACAAGTTAATACCACAGAGACATTTGTCATTTCATCACATTTTTCTGGAAAAGCCAGAAATATATATATATATATAGAGAGAGAGAGAGAGAGGGGGGGAAAGTGTAAAATAAATTTTATAGAGAAAACTGATGCATATCTGAGAATTCTGAATATTTTGAGACAGCTACATGGGGAAAATTCTTACTATGAAAAATTTTTAATTACATAGCTATTTTGCTTTTGCTAACTGTACTTTATAAAATTATACCTTGTTTATCTTTAAGATTCAAAATATTGTATAATAAACGGACAAAATGGAACTTTATAAATATGACAGCGAAAATTAAAGATGTTTTATTTTAATGTTATTTTTTAAATATAATTTCAATATACTACCATTACTAATTCAGAATCAAACAACAAAAATCAGCGTTATATTTACAAAGTTTTCACAGGACTAGTTTCGATGGTTTTTACCGAACCACCATCTTCAGCTGCAAAACGCAAACATTTGCGGTTTTGCAGCTGAAGATGGTGGTTCGGTAAAACCATCGAAACTAGTCCTGTGAAAACTTTGTAAATATAACGCTGATTTTTGTTGTTTGATTTCTGAATTAGTATTTATTCGGCGTGTTATTGTGTCTTAATACTACCATTATTTTAATGGAATTTACCAATGTTACAAAGTTTTAAAGAATTCACATCCCCCAAAGCAAAAAAGTTGTTTAAGAGCTCTTCATTAGAAAAAATGAAATAATTTCGAAATGCTTATGTTTCACTTCTTTCACTATGAAACTTGAGTATCCCACCATTTATATTAGAAATAGGAACACATTATAACCCATGAACCCATTCAAAAGATAATCATATTTTTCAGTGAATCGGCTAAAATATTCCTCCAAAATACTAATTCACACTCAAAATGACAGTTGTAAAAACAGACAGAAATTTCAGATGATTCAAATTAAGGATCTTCTGCCGATTTTGGTGAAAATTAAGGACTTTTAAGGACCAAAATCAATTTTAAAAAAAACCTACGGACTTTTAAAGACTCTTAAGGACCATATGAATCCTGTATAAGGGAAAAATTAAATAGAAAAATTTCATACAGAAAGGTAACAAATATGAGATAACTTTACAATCTCCACCAATTAAAAAGGAAAAACTACTTTCTAGAATCCATCAACAGTGATCTTTTCAAAAAGACCAAAGGCTTTTCTTCATTGAAATCGTTCTAAATATATATAAACACCGTCTGTATTTATGTATGTTTATACTCAATTCTTTCTTCAATAAACAAAGATTCTGTTGTGCTCCTGCATGCATTCATTCAGCACTATTTTACTGCAGTATTACCTCTTAAGGAGATATTTTAAAACTTATACTTCTTATAAACATATATTCAATGCTGGTAATGCTTGATTGCATATAATTTACCAGTTTACCTTAGTTATGTATGTTTCATACTTATTGCATTCTGTAAACATATATTTCATATAAAACTATATTTCTTATATATAAAAGTATACAATAGATGCTCAATGCACTATATAATATACATTACCACAATTTAATTCAATGCTGGTAATGCTTGATTGCATATAATTTACCAGTTTACCTTAGTTATGTATGTTTCATACTTATTGCATTCTGTAAACTGTTTCCAATTATTTGCAGCAGCAAATAACTATGATACATCTTGGAATGTATTAGGTGCAGATACGGAAAACATTACTGCAATCTATTTGATATACATATGCAGTAGTAGTACACCAATAGATGCAACTACATATGCATAACATTTTAAACACAATTAAAAAATAAATTATATTTCTGATTTAGAATTAAAAAAATCTAGCAACTTACATAAGCATAGCTTTTGTTTTTATGGAAGGATCATCAGCTGAAAAATGTTTATACTCTTCTACTTCCTTTTCCAAAGCATTTTTTTGCTTTTCAAGTTTCTCTCTTAAAGATGGCAAAGTATCCCGAATATGATTTGTTAACTGCTGGTTCAACACTCTTTGCAAATAAGGTGTGCCCATACGATCTGCCATATGCCTACATGAAACAAAATTAAAAGAAAAATTATGTTTATAAATGTATCATTAGCTATTTCCAGACATCACAATGAAGCAAAATTTTTATTTTAAAATAAAATTTCTTAGATACTTGAACAAATATTATTTATTTTACTGCAAGGAAATGCAATTTCTGAAATAAAATAAATTTAAACTGAATTTGGAAACAGTCTGAAGTGGAATTTTAAAGCATATTAAAAAAAATATATCCACTCAAAATAATTATAGTAAAAAACACATATATAATAAAATCTGTAAATATCTTTATGATTGGGCAAGCAATGTAATAGAATTTAAAAGGTTTATTGAAGATACAATGATGACATTCACAGATACACGTGGCTGAAGACAAGACATAATGTATTGCTAGACATTTAATTCTTGTGATACAAAAATTCTTATTCATACATAAATGCACCTCAAAATTTTGTATTTGCAAACTTTTCTCATTTTCAGATAATGGGAGACAGATATCAGAGAGATGCAAGGGAAAGAAGGAATGTACGTATACATTTAGTAACAATGAGTGATACAGCATTGGTACTTTGTTAAAACTTTGATCTTTGATTGGATAAAAAAATATCTACAATGCTACACGTCACATTATATATGATGGCATAATAGACAATGCAATTTAGATTCATATAATTATAAATAGTTAATATCGGACAGGAACGAAAAGTAGCCACATTAAAATAAAGAATTAAAACATTATATACATATATATATATTGTTGCATTCTATGGATTTGTGGATTTGGAGTGATTGATGACAACACTTGATGAAGAATCAAAACATAATTTGTTTAGTCAGTATTACTCGGGACAGTTCCAAAATCGCATTACATTAATTGAAAAACAACGACAAACACACTGAAAGAATCAGCAACACAACCTTCAGGCTATCAGGATATAATGGTGAAGACAACTTCATGGCAAAATACTAAAGTACAACTCCAGACCTAGTTGATCACTTTTGGAGCTCGACACTCGAGATACAACTCGATGATACACTACTACTCCGCATATATGCAGGGTTTGTATAGCTTTTGACCTGCCTTCAAGAACATTTTGGGGTAAACCGGTAAGAAATCATTCTAGAATGTTCTCTCTCTTTCCATGACATATCACCAATTTTGTCACTAAATGGACGATTTCGCACCAAATATGGCAACTCTGCCTCACCTTACCATCTTCTGGCAACCCTAAAACTGCCTTGCCAAGAAGCTTACTTTGGCTGGGCATTTGTAACAATATATATGTGTAATGAAGGAAACTTAGATGTACAAACACTGACAGTACAAACGCAGAAACTTTGCATTTCATAAATGTTGATCCACTATTGAACAGCAACTTGGCAGCCAAGGCAGATTAAATATTGATTTTTATTTTGGTAAACATTTTGAGGCCACAAACAATGTGGCACACCTTTTCAAGAATATTTACATTTAGGACAGCTTTGCAATAAAAACAGAAGAAGCAGTCTATCTAATTCAAAGCGCAGAAAGGATTTTGCATTAAAGATACAATTTTAATTTAGAATGAGCTTGTTTTGGTTTTTAGGGCATTTGACGGAACAGTTAATAATGCTGTAAAATTAAAATTGGCTGTTTTAGTTCTATTTATGTGGCCAGTGTTATGTAAGATTCATATGATATGGATGTCTCGAAATATCCCAGTACAGGAAAAGGTATTACTATTTTTAAAATATAGAGAGGAAATACTCAAATTAAAACTAAGCATTAAGGAATTTTGCTAATTTATATTTACATATTTTTTGTCTTTCTTACACACACACATATATATATATATACTTAATAAATACAAAGTGAAAAGCAGTTCAAAACCTAATTCAATTATATGCTGATAGTCGCAACAGCTGGTGGTAATACTGTAAAATAAACAAGTAAAACATTTAAATCCATCCCATATTAAACCAGAACATGCCATTAAAATGCCAAATTCCAGATACGTGAAAAGTCCAGAGAGTTGAGCATATAAAAAAATGGCATTCACATTAGAAAAGACAAAGCAATAGGGAAAATATAGCTCTAAAATATGAAAACAATCCTCTTATTTACTATCAACTTGAATATCAAAAGCCTCCATTTAAAATTTAAAAAAGAAATGCATTTCAGGCGTAAAAGCCAACATATTTTGTCGGCCTTAAACATGAAATTAAAACATCCGATATACTTATGAAATTCTGCTGAACATGAAAGTTGGCAGAGATGTCGCCAATCATTATGGCAGAAATTCAAGCATATTGTTATGTTATTTCTTTACTTCTGACACCAATTGCTACATTATTTTCTTCATTCGTGTTCGTAGTTTTGGAGTGAATAATGACAATACTACTTGATGAAATGTCAAAACACACTTTATTGGCCGGTATTAATCAGGACAGCTCCAAAGTCACGTTTTACAGTCGTCGAAGATCTACTACAGAAGCTGTTCGCACATTTTTTAGACGATTTTGGTAAGCAGTAATAAAAAATCGTTTGCTGCAAAAGAAGTAATTGCAATTGTACTATGTTTTTAAAAGTCAAAATTATCGTCTGCAGCTTGAAAGTTTTGTTTTTATTCAAAATGGCGAATTTAACAAAGCAGTGGTTCGAAGGCTACATTTACGCTCTTTCCGAAGAGAAATATGCATACTCCGTAATCCAAAAACGATGTGAGAGTCATGGTTTTGTGATATCTAAAACGCCAATAGGTAATATCATCAACAAGAAAGGGAAAAAAAAGTCAAATTGGAGCCTCAAGTGGGACAAAAATTCCAAACAAGTATCCAAGGAAAAAACGGACATCTTCAACTATTGCAAAGGTACGTTGTTTAATGTTAAAAGAAAATCTCCCTAGTCAAAGGACAATTTCAAAATCATTAAAATGCTCGGTGTCCACTGTAAACAAAATGATACATGTTGATTTAAATCTTAAGAAAGCGAAAAAACGCAATTTGCATCGTCTTCTTCCAAAGCATATCACTCAACACAGGACACGCTGCAGAATTCTATATGAGAAACACTTATCCAAAGAAAAATGGAAAACAATTGTCACAATAGATGAAGCATGGGTGTATTTAAATAATTGTAAAAAAAAAAAAAAAAAAAAGAGAGAGAGCCATTTATTATCATAAAAGGGGAGAAAAAATTTAAGTACATGGTTCAAAAATCGAAAGAAAGTTTTTCTAAGGGATTCATGATTGTTGCTGGTTTTTCTTATAATGGCAAGTTAAAAATAAAGAGAGTGCAAAAAAATGTCAAGATTAACTCCAAGTACTATCAGGAACATATTTTATCACCAATTTTTCTGAATGAAATACCATTGCTTTACCCACAGTGCCATCAATCTGTGAGACTCCATCAGACAAAGCTAGCAATCACACATCAAAATCCACTGTAAATTTCCTAAAAGAAATGGAACAAAAAACTGGTATCAAGGCCATACCCTTCACTGATATCCCTACTAAATCTCCCGATGTGTCACCTATGGATTTTGTGGTTTTGGACTTTTAAAAACTGCATCATCCAAACGTTGTCCCAAAACCCTAACAGGACTCTGGAAAGCTGTTCGGGAGAATGGGTTGAATACCCTCTTCTGCCACTTCAAAAGGCATTATTATCCTGGAAATTGTGGTGTCGGAAGATAGCTTCAGAATAAGGGATGCCAAACAGAACATTTAAAACACAAGAATCTTATGTAATATAGTTTTGTGAATACAATATACATCATCTAAAAAATGTGTGAACAGCCTCTGTATAAACACGCTGACACAGCCTCCAGGTTATCAGGCTATAATGGTGGAGACAGCTTCCTGCAAAGCACCAGAGTACAGCTCCTGACTCTTCTTGGTCGTTCTCGGAACTCCACGTACTCTCAAGACTCTCCCCGCCACAACTCGCGATGCACTCGATGACACATGAGCACAGCTCCCGACTCTTCGGTTCAGTCGTTCCCAGACTTAACACACTCTCCCGACGATGCACTAACCGCGATACACCGAAAGACTCCTTCGGTGCACTCAACGACTTGCTCGGCACTCGTTGCCCTGCTGTCAACTCGATCGACTCCGCATGGCTTGCTAGACAAGGCACACTCTCTTATCAGCTCACTAGGTGAGGCACTTTTACTCGTCCTCTCGACGAGGCACACTCTCGATACTAACTAACTGCGAACCAGCAGGGTTTATATAGCTTTCGGCTTTTCTGGGCTAAACCAGTAAGAATTCGTTTCAGAAGGTTCTCCATCCGTCCATGACATATCGCCAATTTTGTCACCAAATGGACGATTTCTTGCCAAATGTGGCAACCCTAAAACTGCTTTGCGGGGAAGCCATCTTACCACGCCTGTACATTTCGTAACAATATCATTCTTTTTTTAGTTACATAATAAAGAATTGCAAATTGAGGATATAGCATATGAAAAAACTTTTATAATTTTTCACATTACATTGCTATGGTTTATATGTTTCCAAAGTCATATATCACAGCCTCTTTTGATGCCCAGATCCTGAAACTTCCTCCTCTTCACACAGTTTCAAATATCGATTATTTTTCCAAAATACACGAAAAATATATCCTTCTTTACAAAAATTAAACTGTCTTATCAAGAGTTAACTGAATTTACATTCAATCAAAACAAACTTATTATGACTGAGTTGTGATGTCATTCTTACCCATTACTGGCACTAAATTGCACTGTTTAGTAACAATGTATACAGGATAGTCATAAAAAACTTCCCCAACATATGACCCCATAAATGGCCTATCAGCTTAACCAACTGAAATAAAATTTCAGATATTGTTGTTTGAAGGTATAGGCTCAAGAGTGTGATGATTTAAAACAGCAGAGCTCTCAAGATCTTGGTTACAGTGAAAAAGTTCAAAATTTTTGAAAGGTAACACCTACTTTTTTCCTGTGCATACTGATCAGTATATTGAAAAACTATAAATGATGTAGAAACAATACACGTATGATGAAAATTACTGACATAAAATATTTGCAAAAAAGATAATTATAAAGAACCAACAACAAAACAGAGAGCTGGTGCATTGATGCTCTTTGCATAATTCACAGGAATAGACAGTAGAAGCAAAAGTCCAGAACACCATGTATAAAGCATTGCTTGCGGAAAACCTTCAATAAGCAGTGTGGGTAGACTGTTTCTTAACCAGGTGCTCGAACATGCTAACAATATGACAATTACAGAGAAACAACCAGATGACTTCATAAAGTTGTTTTACTGAATGATTCTCCATTCCGGTAATAACTTTGACAAATCAATGCAAGAGCAAAATCATAAGCTAAAACGAGTTCTCAACGTTCTGTAAGAACTGTACATGTTTTGATAAACTTGAAGAAACTGGATGGATACTGCAGGTCTAATTCATACTGCAAGAACTTGCAGTTTGGATGTAATGAAAACTACGGTAAGCTTCTGTGCTCTGTTCTGCAGCTGTGTCCTTATCGATTTCACTGGAGACCAACATCATGTCAGCTTTATGAATCTTTTCCTCATGTATGATGAAGACAGCATGTAGCCGCTGAAGATATCTTGGATGGATGAGGCACATTTATTCTTAACTGCGAATGCAAACTCCAAGAATTGAGTTCACTAGGCTGATGAAAATCATCACAATATGGTACCAGGGCATTTACATAAAGTTACAGTGACTATGTGATGTGGCATTGCAAATACATTTATTCTCAGTCAGTATTTCTTCGAAGAGATCACTTTCACAGGTATGAAAAATTCTCCATCACAAGTGTTCAGTATACAACAATATTGCAGAATTATGCAATTCCAGAACTGCAACAGTGAAATGTTGTTAATGGCATTGTATGGCTGTGAGATGATGCTCCCCCCCTTACATCACTACATGCATTCCGCAACTGCTGGAGCTGGACTTTGAAGGCACAATCATCTTCCGTTCTTTACAGTTTCATGACCACCATGATCTCACGAATTCACTTCAATAGTCTTCTGGTCTCCAAGGTTATCTGAAATCTACAGTATACACATCAAATCCACAAGATTTGTCAGAATTAAAAGGTACCATAAAATGTGAAGTTAAAGAGATTGCTCTTGTGATGTTACATTCATCATTGTTGTCAATAATCTTCCCACATGCAATGTGTTACTGTTTATGAAGATAGGCACGTTGAAAACTTGTAATTCTCATAAAAATTCTTCCAATCTCTTTTCTTGTGCTTTTAGTGGTGCTTTACTATGATACTTTTTGCAAATGTTTTACTATGCTAATTTTTGTCTTTTGTGTATCGTTCTAGCAACATTTATGGTTTTTCAGCAGGAAAAATGTAGGTCTTACCATCCAAAAATTTTGCATCTGTCACTGCAAACCATGAGAGCTTTATTATTTTAAATCATCACAATCTTGAATGCATACCTTAAAATAACAATATTGGAAATTTCGTTTTGACTGGCTAAGCAGATAAGCTGCTAGGGGCTAATATATCAGGAAACGTTTCTTTTCTTGACTATTCAATATATTTTAATAGTATTGTGAATTATATGGTGTTACAAAACTCATTTACTAAATTTTTCTGGGGAATTTTTTTCCTTAAATTCTAAAATATTCCAGTTAGTTGAATGTCAGACAGTTGGACTTGTACTGTATATTTGGTAAATAGCTGTAATAGATTGGATATGGTTTATTGCATAGATATAATAATTACATATTGTAATAACTAGGGAGAGCTGGTAGCATCATAAATGGATGTCTAGAGAAGGAAAAACTTGCAGACGTGGCCAAATTCAACAGTTTCTATTTTATTTATGGATTATATACTATTTTCACCTATGGGCATTAAAACAACCTGTTCTAATTTTTTTTTTTTTTTTTTATATTGGTAATGATAAACTCTTAAAATATATATTTTGAAGGCAGTAGCAAGTTAGCTGGTGTGAAACAGAAGCCAACTGTGGCACATTCAGAAGAGAGCATGAGAAAGCATTAATAGTTTCAGTTCTGAATAGAAATCTTGACCTGTGATTGAATAAGAAGTGCCTGAACTGCAGGTTTATACAAGAATGCATGTTGTGAAATAATTTTGAAATAATGCACATTAGCATGGTCACCATTTATCCTGAATGTATGCAGAGAAACTGCGTAGCACCTCAGGACTTAAAATTTCTCCATCAATTTATAATTTCATTTGAATCAAATTCACCCATTTTTATCTGCAATCAGAGGGTTAATAGTTGTGGGTACCTACATCATAGCATTAATTTTTCTGTTGTGTAACCTCTACTTAATTTTTTAATGGTAGTTTAGATTATAAAGTATCAATCAAAAATGTTACATTAAAAAATTTTTTTTGTTTCTCTGTAAATGGATAATGTTTATTAAGCAAGTTGCTAATATTTAACGTCTTTCATTAAAATATGAAAAAAAATTCATACACTCGAGATTAATAACAAACACGAAAAATTGCAAACTTTATTCTTTATCAAAAATTACCTACTTTTAATTTTTTCCCTTGTGTGTGTTGGAGGGGAAAATAGTTTTTTTACCATAGAGGTCTAGATGCCCTCTACATTTTAACAAAACTTAAATATTTAATTACTAAATTAACAACAACAACAACCACAACAAAAAAAAAAAAAAAAAAAGAGGGGGGGGAGTACCTGTAAGCAGGATGGCTAAGAAAGAAACGCCTCTCTGCTGCTATTGCAGCTTTAATGTCTTTACGTCCCTCAATGTCCTTCTGGCTGCGATTGACAACACCAATGTAACCTAAAGTCAAAGAAAAGATCCTAAGGTGTATTTTACACATCTGTAAAATTAACTACAATTATTTTTGAGTAACAAAAAACAAACATATTTTTAGCATACCTCTACGCAGAGGCAGAAGTTTGTTTTCAAGTATATCCCTAGCATCTGTGCCTTCATCCATCAAGTCTAATTTTGTGATAACGCCAATAGTACGAAGTCCTGTAACAGAAAAAATCTGCAATGAAACTAAACCAGTAAGCTACAAATTAATGCTAATAATATTTGACATCATGCTCTTGGAATTTCAAGCAAAATACATGTATATTTATGCATATGCATGCAAGTAAAAAATAAGTGGTATGCCTTTGTAGGTAATCTTTGATAGCAAAGATTTTTTCCAGGAAGATTTTTTTTTTTTTTTTAAATTTCAGATAATCAATGAATGATAAATTTTTAAATGAATTCACATGAATTATTTATACTAAATAAAATTCGATAAATACAATCACTAATGTTTGGCAAAACTTTTTGCCTTGTTACACAGGAAAAACTTTCTAGTGTTAAAATTTGGAGCACAGTCTGCGAATTTTTTACTCAATGAATGAGTTTGTTGGTTACTCATGAAATGGTATCTCAATTTGAAATTTTGAATCAGATAAATCCAAATTTTGGCCAATTTCCTTGTAGGCACCCACAAAGCTGCAGAGACTAAACTACATAAATGATGAACATAAAATTTTGCACATATGTAGATAACTGGTTACCACACACCACATATTTCTATACTGTTCTTTGGGGGGGGGTAGCACTAGATAAAAGTGCAAAAGAATACATACCCTGTTAAATATGCTTAATTTCTATCGAATGTCCAAAACACTCCCAAAAAAGTATGCATATGAAGACTGGATGAAGTATAATTTTGCATACACTAAACTGATTTATGTGATATCCTACATATGACACAGATGCAATTTTTTTAATTGTCGTGAAGGAATACATTTCAGAATCATTTTGTTCATTTTATATAATACAACTCTTCTAGCGGACACAAAGACACAGAACAATTGCTTCCCTTTATTAAGATCCACAGTTCATGCAAATTTGAAAATAAGACTTAACATTTTGCTGCAATTTCTGATTTTTAAAGATCTTAGAAATAATTTATTTTAAAAAATTATTTTGCCTGTGATTTATTTGGATTAAAAATAAGATTTTCCCCACTTTTCACGCAAAATTTCTCGATTTCATGAATACTTATGTGTGTGCGGGTGGGGGGGGGGAGACAACCACTTATTTCATATCATTTAAAGAATTTTTCCAAGAATTCAGCAGATTTAAGAATCATTTTTAAATTACATATCAGGTCTGTTTACATACAGGTTAGCTTATTTTCACTTTAACTAAGGGGGAAATAATCTTACACATACAATAATTACACAAGTGAACAACTACAGCTCCTGGGTATTAGAATAACTAAATTTTTTTTAAAGCTCAAATTACACCTATTATTTATTTAATTCACATTTAAACTCAAAACATTTTAGTACAATTATTTTTGCAAGAGATACATCATATAAAGTCACATTAAACATTGGCAGAAATGTTTTAAGAAACATCAAAAATTTAATTACAAAATGCAGTCAAAAATCCAAACCATCCCATAAATAACATTATTTTTTACACATGGCAGGTTCAAATGCAGTTCATTCAGATAAATTCTATCTTGTAGGCACTAACTGCATTGCTTTTATAATCCCTCATGGAAATGTCAGTCACAGAAAAGCACATCAGATATGCCTTGCTTTACATATTTTAAAAAGGCAATAGTACAGCAGATGATGTAAAAAATATGGAGAAAATAAAGGTATCTGGAAAGTTTACAAGTGCCAATGACAGTTAAGAAAATTTCAACAACATGACCTTAACTTGAAAGATGCCAGTTACTGAGGCAACTAATCTTCCCTCTCTTTACTGCTCAGACAAAAATCAACTAGCAGTTCAAAGTCTGCAAAATTTCAGTACAGAAAAGAATACCGTTCTCAGCGATAGAAAAGGACACAGTTCCCACGAGGCACTTGAAATGGACATTCAAAACTTTTTCAATAAGTTCACTGATTTCTTTAAAAATGGGAGAAAAGACACTATTAAAGCCTTGGAAGAGTGTTATTTCAGATGGGGAAATATACAGTTATGATATACAGTTGAGTAAATTAATAATATCTTATTAATTATATATATATATCTTCAAAACCTACTTCAAAAAATGACTGTTTTTAGAATGACCTGATATGATCTTACCCTCTCACATAGAATGGGAATATAATGGGAATATGAATATTATCAAAAGATAAAATCAAATTTCAGAGAACTATCATTCATGTACAGATATTGATTTATTGATTTTGTGCAATGTCATTATAACATTATAATGAAACAAGCAGGAAGCTTACGCTGACACTGAGACACAAATAAAGCAAATTATAAAATGATATTTGCAAACGTTCTTCAATTAAAAACTAGCAAATAATCCTGATTTGATATGAAATAAAAGAAGGAGATGTGTAAAACTTTCCAAAGTATTTATGGATAGAAATGTTTAGAGGGGGGGGGGAAGAAATTTTTTAATTCCAAAATTAGAAAATTTTTCCCTTCACACAATGTAATAGTCTCAAAGTTTTATAACATTTTGCATATGAAATTCCCTCTCTTCGAATTTAACAATGAGATTCGCACACAATTTTTGTATTCCATTTCATACGTATGCATACTTTTGTCCAGTCTCGTCTTAATTAATTTTATAACTAATCCTATGTGATTTATTAAATTTTAATCCAACTGACATATAATGCAAAGCAGTTACAACAACCACGCTTTTAGCATCAATACATTTATTCATCATTTTTTGAGATGCTAAGGAATATAAAAAAGTAGACAATTTTAAATATACTGAACTTCAGTTATTTTCCCCATATACTTTAAAAATTTAACATACTAGTAGAAACAGTAGAATTCCACTAATCCATGAGTGCCTGTAATCTACATTTTGTTTTGAATATAACTGCAAAAAATTTCAATTTTCAGAAAGTTCAACATGACATATTGTTTAGGTGACCAGAGTCGTCTGCCTGTCTGTGAATTATTATTTCGCAATGCTCAGATTGTATGCACAACTCGCATTTTGTTTTTGCATTCTTGCAAACGCTAATTGTAACTTTCACGCTTTACTTTTTGCTGTGTTGTGTTCTAAAGTTGAAATCGCTAAAATAAAAGTTGTACTACAGTCGACTCGCATTGATGTATTCTTATATTTATTAATTTAAATTTAAGATACCGCTATGCTACATTAATTTGGTCATCATACGACGGAGATTTGAGAAAAAGATGCGCTTGTGAAAAAGAATTCTACGTCTTTATGATGTTGTTGATAATACACTTTTGGTTTAGAATTCTCAAGAGTTACATAATGGATACAGTGTTCGAGGTGAGTGAAAACGTTAATGCATTTTAATTGCATTTGACATTTCT